TTCTTATTTTATTTCTTAAAATACAGGATAATTTCTGGGGATAAAATTCAGTCGACTATAAGAAACCGTATATGTTATGAATACCTCTACAAAACTGTAATTTTACAAAACAGGCTAACTATTCAAATACAACTCATTTACATGCAGGTCTAAAACAACTGTGAAATTTTAATTAAACGTTCAAGTTAAAAGGAGGATAATGATGATTTCTGAGAAAATATATAACTAACGTGTGGTGAAGATAATATCAGATTGGTTGTGACATTTACCTTAGAAAAGTCTTCCAACTCCCGAGATTTGGACCTGGATTTGTGTCAGGTGTTGCACTGCTCTCAATTTTATACTTTTCTGTATATTTTTAACTCGTATTAGACATCCTCTCGTAGAGCTAGTAATTGTTTATCAACCTTAAACGTTATGTTCCGTGTACAAATTAAATGTGATCATTTTAAGGCATTTTTAAACTTTATTAAAACAACATTTAAGCATGAAAAACGTAACTTGGGAGAGCGTATGTAAAGGAAGTTTGCTAATTTATCAAAATAAATTGTGGGTTTAAAATTAAAAAGTTTATTACTGTAAAATACAAACCATGAACCTTTTACTAATCTCTTTTCTAGTACAAAAAAGGTACACGTTACCACACGGTAAGTGTATGTATAATAAGGTAATTATTTTAGATAAATAACAATATTCAAAAAGTATTTTATATACATTTTGTATATTCTTTATGATTAATTATATAGTTATACATTAACAAAGTCATATTAAATATGCCAATTAAAAACTAGTACATAAATAAATTAAAAAAAAACTAAAATAGCTTGGTTACATTGAAATCATAATTTTAATGGAATAAAACATAACGTTCTAATTAGTGGGTTTGTTTTAAGAGAAATTCTACCGACAATTGAAATATTTTTGAAGGACTGTTTGTAATGTTTGGACGGAGTAGGATATTCACCAACTTTTGTATCTAATTAAAACTTTTGAGTGATTTCAAAGCGGACAATTATTGTATTGTAAACAGAATTTGTATTAAAGGTATTTAAAAAATGATCATTTAAGGAAAAAAAATTCTTTAAGATAAATTATAATTGAAATGACAATAGGAATTGAATATTTATTGAGAATAACTAAGTCATTGTCCTTTTATCCAGGGAAAATGTGATTTAATAATTTCCTTACAAGAGCTAAATCTAATTTAAAATGAATTACGATTTGTCTACCTACCACTAATGAGACAACGGTTGGATGGTAAAGCCTTTCTGTCAAATAAAACGGATTTCATATCGTATTGCATCGAAAAGTTTAGACTCGTCGAGAGCTTTATTTTCATATTTAATTTTCCACTTTGGAAACTATTCCTATTAGTTTTTGCTACACCAACCAGTTTGATTATTACTTTTAAGTAACACCTCTATGTTAATTTTACATGCTCAAGGTTGGTTCTAATATTTTTCACTGATCAGACAAAGTTGGTGTACATTTTTCAGGAATTTTACTAAAGTTTATTTTCATCTGTGAATAAAATGTGTTTTTAATGAACGAAAATATTCATACTTGTTACCAATAGTGTAAATTATGATAAAATAGCAGCTATACCCGTGCCTTGCAACGGGTTCAGTATTCAAAAGAAACAATCTTTGAAAATGCCTTAACAATGGTTTCACTCCTACCATTAACTTAGAAATTAAATTGAACTGTATTACTTAAATTGATCATAGTACGTTTTTGTTAACTCGACTGTGAACACTTATTTAGGCTACCTTGATACAAAACCAATGATAGATTTTAAGATATAATAAAATAACATACTGGATGATCTGTACTATAAACGAAAAGCTATCACACAATTAGTTCCAAACCTGTAAACAGTGCAATTTTCTAACATATTTTAGTGAAATTATAATCAGGCAAATGGAAATTTGCTTAGTCTGTAGGTTTGCTGCGGCAGGGGTATTATATTACTGTTTACACAAAAATATATCTAAAAGATAATTCTCATAAGACTCAGGATAAGAGCCTAGTTTGATACAGCAATTATTATAGAATCTTAATTATTTACTATAATAATGAATAATTTCTTTTACAACGAATTATTCTATGTGACTTATTATTACAGCGTTTCGCAAATATTCGAACAGACTCAGGAAACAAATGACTGTAACTGAAAAAATCCTATACAAATTACATTAACATTTTATGGTTTGACAGATCCGCTTAAGTAATGTTAAATAATGTTTACATTCAGTCGAATGACATCATTTATTTATGTTTATGATCCATACCGTTTCAGTTGTAATATTCATGCAGTATTTCATATGTTAAGAAAAATACAGAGTGTAATTTTGGTGTGGCATAAGATTTGAATTAGCCCGAAGGTGTTGAAGATTGTTGAATAAATTCATTTTAGTTCGAAGATTACCCGCTAAAGATAAATATGCACATTTGACCTCTGATGGGTTAGTGACATATTAATCTATACTTATTTAATACGCAAGCAGGTTTTTTGTGACAATTACTCCTCCGAAACTACTGAACCGATTGACATGTTTTTGGTGTCATTGGAAAGAGCGTAACGTGAAGTTGTGCAGGAAACTTTCTTTTTAGGGAAATAATTTGAGAGTGAGGCCCTGGGGCCCTTTAAAGTTTCGTATTTCTCCATAAGATTAACATGGGAAACAAACATTGTTATGAAACTCCAGCTGTTGTCAGAAATTAAAAGTGAGAATAAGAACATATGTTAATTGTAAAATTGTGACAGAGAGGTTATGCAGAAAATCAGGTAGTTAATGGTTATTTGGTGCTATTAAAATAAAGACCAAAATTTGTAAACGTACTGGCGACAATGGGTGATACCATGCAGACAACATTATCATTGACAAAGACCAACATTATTGCGGCTATAAGTGGGAAACATTTCTACAATACACTAAAAGCCAGATCAGCTTTTGAAAAATGATAAAATATTTACAAGAAATGTTGATTATATTGAACCGTTAAGTACATTGTGAGTATTATCATTAGTTACGTAATCTCTGAGTTGACTCTTTTAAACTCATGAGAAATTATGACTTGTATTTGTTCTTAAATAAGTTATTTGTTTTTAAATAACTCCTTTACTTCTTTGCGATTGCTCGATTTCGAGCAACTTGTAAACTAGTACACTTAAAATGCATGAATAATCTGTAACATGAGTTAAAATAACAAAAACAGTTCTTGTACCAAAAGCATGTTTAATTTTTGGTAATATTATTAATAATTTATCGATTTAAGCAGGTTTTACAAACAAAGAGAGTTATTCACACTACGCCATGTAATAGAAGTTTACCCTTCATTTTTCTCACAACAAACTTTGCAGACTATTTAACAAAAGTTACCATCGGGGGATTTGTGTGCTAACAATTATTCAGTTTGTGATGAGCTCTGGATTACATTCACAAATGCTCAGTTTGCCGTAGCAACTTAATGGTCCAAACATTCACTATTTCACAAGAATATTTATTAGATTCATAGTGAAACCATAATAAAGCTCTTTTAATGTTCTTCACACACTAACAAATTGATCATAATCTTAAATCGGGAATCAAAAATCAACAAAAATACTATTTGTACACATTATAGAATGCTTAAGACCGTGTTAATACATAAACTGAACCTAAAATTATTTTTATTTTACAAACCTTTTATTGTTACGTTTTACCCTTAGTTTTTGTATTTTCATATAAGTAATAAGCTATAATGTTACTATGATAACTTAATAAAAAACCACCAAATGGCTAAAGTAATATTTGAGAAGGAAATCACAAAAATACAAATGAAATCACAGGGATAGATATTTGTAATCTTTAACCACAAGAACAATTTTTAGGAAGGAGACATAGAAACATTAATTATTTTTTTAATAGTATGCTTGACATCCAACTGAAAAACTAGCAAACAAAATTATTTTATGTCCAAAATTTTTCAAATCAACTATTGACTATGCTATATTTGGTATAAAGGATTTTCTTAGTCCTGCAGGATTGCTACGACATTTTATATATTATATATTATATTTGATATATTTTTTAGGACTTTAAGGCAACTGCAGTATCTAAATTTGTAGGTTTATACGAAAACACCAATATTTAATTACATTTAACTTTTTCAGCTCTAGGGAAACTCTACATTAAATCTTCGCCCATTCAACTCCTGGAATTCCAAATCACATAATTAACTTTAAGAACTATAAAAAATTTTAAATGATCAAAGAAACTTGAATCTAAACTGTACCAAAGTTAAACTATCTACATTAATAAGATACTCCTAGAAGTTTCAGTAACGTCGCAATCAGGGGTCCAAAACTTAAGATGATTATAGTGAAAAAACATATTTAAAACTGCAGAACTCTCCATAGAAATGTCCTCTTCTCCATCTCGACTTGGTCTTTGATCATCTTCATTGCCAGGACGCTGATTCATTAAAACTTTAAATTGAATTTTTGTGAAAGAGACCTAATTAAAACTTACTCAAAGAATTATTTGGATCGTTGGTTTTTCAATAACGCTCGTTTATTAAAGTATGTACGTATTTTATTTTATTTGTTAATATTTCGAGATGTAAATCCTGTTTTCTGAAAATATTATTAAATTTAGAATACTTTTTAATGAATTATGTGTCATGTTAAATTGCTCGTGAAATGTATTAAATATATTTTGTTGTTGAGTTCATAGTTTTATATTTTACAATACTATGTTATCACGAGCAATCTAAGATAGCTATTTGCAAAATCCATGGATGGATGGAAAGAGACCAACATATTGTAACAATAAAACAACATATTGTTTTATTTTGTCACTTAAAATAATCTGGATATGTAATTACATTTTAATGTTTAATGACCTTTTTTAAACTATGGAATTACATTTTTTAAGTAATTGTACTCTCCTAATCAACTATCACAGTATACAAGTATCACACAACAACAAGTACAAGTACAAGTATCACAGCTGCAAGTTACTTTGACACATTTCAAATAAATGTAAAACTCAAAATAAATGTTTAGTAATGTCTCCTTGCTTTAATTATGTTTTCTCAGCCGATTTTGTTTCTTAATTTGTAAATTGCATTGAAGGAAAATATAATTACAATTTAATAAACAAGAAACGTCGTGCTAGTTTGCCAACCAGACTTACGGGAGAGAATAAACACAAGTTTTGAGGACTCGGTATTTGAAACATATTTAATTTGTATGTTTTTGCCTGTCTATTGTACAGTAGTTTCATTCCATCGATTTCGTGGGAATAATATTGTTTCTGTCTGAAAATGTTCAAGATTGTCAAATTCATTTACCAGTAATATTCTAAGTCTGTTCAAAGTAGTTTTGCAACCAGTAATTAGTTTAATTAACAACTCAAAAATGTACTGGTTGAAAAACAAGACAATGAGTCTAGCCTAAGACCATTAGTAGAACCTGTATACCACGAGCAAGTAGCAAAACCAAATTGGCTTTTATCAAAGTTCTGTACCTCAAAAGTACTCTAACTATCATGTTCCTTTCCTTCTCCACAATTAACGTATGTAGATTTAACAACCAGCTGAGCAACATTAAATTCTACAGAAACTTGTGTGTTTCCTCAATCATCGTGTAGTTTTTTACGATGTAGCCCTTTTCTTGTCCAAACATGACCAAATTCAATTGTTGCTCCAGCATTTGAAAAGGCAGGTCATTTTCTGTAAAAGAAATAACTAGTTAAGTAGTATTCCTTTAAATATATTTTCATTAGAGGATAACCAATAGGTTTAGTTAATAAATTGTTATTTAAAATCAAAATTTACTCATTTAAATTTTATTTTCTTTACATATCCATTTCGTGGTTTGTCTATTTGATTATTAATAATAAGAAATTTTGTCGACATTTTGATTAAGTCGCACTTGTCCTAACCTTTTTGATCTATAGGCATAAGTTACGAAGTTTTTTTAACCTAATGGAAAAATGCACGTTTTGAAGACAAGATGTACTGAGAGTTTTGAAAACTTTAGTAGACATCCTATCTATGTGTACCAACTGTAGCAATTGTTTTATTTCAAAAGATTATAGTAAAATAAGCAACTCAAGAGTGTACTTAGGTCAAAAATAATATATTCTCCATTTATTTTTTGTTACCTACTGAGAATGAGTAGGTGAGATAAAATAATCTTGACAGTGAGTTCTCCTATTGGTTTAGCTTTGCTAAACAATCGGCGCATTTGACAATTATTTACATCAGCACATTCTGTAGGTAGCCCAACATAACTAGGTCTATGTTAATCTTTAACCTAAAACTTGCTAGAATTTCAACATGGAAATAGAATATCTAGTTATATCTAACCAAAGGTGCTACACTACGTTTACTCTATTTCTATACTCACTGCCGTTGTAGTTGCCTATGTAAGCTATGTCTATCCTGTTGCCATGGTAACGAGCCCAAGGTAGTTTGGTGGATGATCTGTGAAACCACCCTCGTCCTTCAAACACCTTCTCGTTGCCCCCGATTATGAAGCTGAAACAGTAAACGTAACAAAGGGTATTAAAACATGTGGTGCGTTCAATCATAGATAAAACATATAATAATACTCCCTTAGTAGATTTCTCATCCTAATGGAACAGCTGAAGACAATTTTATTGTTAGTTCTGTACGGTTTATGTAGAGGTCGTTTTTTGTTTACAATTTGTTTCCCGTTAATAAAGTCATTTAAAACCTCGTTTAACCAAATAATAAGATCTAATCATAAACAATAAATTGTCCCCTAGTTATTTAACCAAACAGTAAAGCACAAATCAAGAAATTAACCCTAAAATAATAGAAACAAAATTTCGTCGACACTAGCGCCCAGTGTGGCGTACATGAACTAGACATGAAAAACGAGCTTCAAAATTTACAATGGGATGAGAAGTCATGGTTCAATGTTTTTGTTTCCAGGGATATTTCAAGATCATATTTGTATGTTATGGTGGTTGAATGGTTATGTTTTCTTCCGAACTAAGCTGCATAAGATTGACAGACAGATAATTAATTTCTTATTATTGAGGCTATTGATGGTTTGATTTTTACAACCCCAGTTTTAGCATATTTCCCATATAGGGAATAAGCTACCGTAGTACTCCTGGTAAGACCTGGACCTTGGACCAATTTACTTTTTCGTTTTAAGGTCCCTAGAGGCCAAAAACACCATCCGTTCAAATTCAAATATTTGTACAATGTTTTATATTGAAGGGTCGTTGTCCGTATAAAGGTTAAGGAGAAAAATTAAAATATTAAAATCCTAGTTTTAATCTTGTGGAGAGTAAGTGAACTGATGTAGTTTACTTTTTATAGATTTTCATCAGATTTGGTAAATTTTATACCACCCGACTAAACATTTAAATATAAAACACATTTTATGGCATCCCTTGCATCAGCAAGCCTCAGAACTAATTAAACCTAATGTTAAAATGTCTAATAAATCTGGCACAAGGAAATATTTGTGTTAAATTCCATTAGTCTGCAGGTTTGCTGCTGCGGTGGTATTTTACATGACTCAGTGATCAAGTCAACCTACTTGTACATAATGTCGTCATCGTCCTCCATATGTATTCTCTGCATGTCCATTACTCTACGCACACACGTGTTGTCATCAACACACTCCGCCATGTCAGTTCTGTAGTACACACAGATACACTTGACAGGATGGTCCTGTAGAACGTAGTCCTTGGGGGAGCGAGCGTGCCACTCATGGCGGGGGACTAGGATCACAGGCATCTGCTCGTGGCCTAGAAAAATTGTCAGAAAATGTTGTCTCAGTGAATTATATTTTCCCACTATTGGTCCCGTCCTGGTGTCTGTGCGAGGAACGTATCAGGGAAAGCAAGGGCACAAGAATGAATGGTACGGATAAAATATTGTTTTTGATATCAGGAATTAAAATTTAATAAATTTTTCCATGATTTTTTAGTGCCGAAATACGTTATTATTCAATAATAACACGCACCTTCGTTCAAGTGGGGAGCGGGATCGGGACCTTATTATTTTCAATGAGCGGACCGAGTGAGTAGTTTTCAAAACACCAGTCATTCATAGACAAACTGTCTCGGATAAGGGGGAGTTACTTCTATGGTGGATAACAACAGCTTTGTTTGGCCTTTAAACACAATTATATTTGTTTTAAAATATTAAAATTTAGAATTACTAGCTACATTTTATTTATGTTTGTAGTTAACGTTTTATCATTGACTAGTCAACGGCTTTATTAACCACGTTTTACCCTTTTTTCCTAGACCATAAAATTTAGTGTGCCAATAAGAAATTAATATCACAGTAAAAGGGAAGGGAAATAAAAAATTAGATTGAATCTCTACTTCTAAATACGATGTTAAAACTTGTATTTAACATCTGTGGACAAGTTCCAAAATTCCACTAGATTAAAATGTATAACAAATTTGTTTAACAAATTTTTATATTGAAGAGAGGTATTTTATTTTAATCACCCTGTTTAAACAATGTAAGATATGAAAAAACCCAAAGTAAACTAACCTCAATTTTTTACTAGACTTGCGAGTCTCGTATCTTTATAGAAATATTTACTTTACTGAACAAAGTGAGAGAAACTGCAAAGAGAGTCTGGATCACTTTAGTAAATTGAAACTGGGCGACTCTTTGCCACATAATACGAGCGATCTGAAGCGAATATTGTCACCGATGTTCAAAGTTCCAATCATTTCAGCAGGTCAGTGATAAAATAGTTTTATTTAAATGCGTGTGTCTCCATGCCCAATTTATAAACGAATTAATAAGAAGACATTTTTTTATTTATTTATTTAGAACCTTAATCACACTTATTTTTACACTACTCTACTTCTCTGTGAATTACAGCTCTGTCAGAGGTTTAATTATATATTTGACTAGGTAACCGAGTGTTAACTGTGCTCGCCTTCATATCTGAAGGTTGCTGTGCTGGTTCAAATCTGGCCGAAGATGCCATTTTTCATTGGGTTACCAATAATGCTATCTAATATAATTATATATAATATAATATAATGCTATCTGTCAACGTTGTATAGTTATAGAACCAGGAATTAAATCATTCCTTTACAAAAACGTACATTAAAAATAATATATATACTGCAAACTATATACTGCTGCCACTGCTGTTTTATATATACTGGAGGGGGGAGACAAGAGGCAAATTAATTGTTTACGTGGGAAACACATTTTTAATTAATCTTAGTAGCAATATCAGTAGAGTATACAACCAATTCCACTTAAATTGTGAATGAGAAATTATTAAAACTACATTAACTTGAAAACCAAAGATTGAACTGAGACTTTTCAGGTATTTAGCCAATGTACTAGACATGGATATCGTCCCAAACTCAAATAGTTATGGATTAGAATTAATGAAATGAAATGAAAAATCATTTATTTATACAGGCAAAGTTAGGGCCACATGGCCCTTTCTTACACTTAACCTGTACTTTAAAACATAATATAAATATTTTAACATAATCAGCTTATACAATAAAACAAAACAGAAATCATAGATACAGAAACTTTTAATTTTAGAATTAGGGGTTTTGGTAGATATTTTATATGCATATTCAATTTTATTTTATGTACATGAAATATGGATAATACGTATACTGATTAGTAAGGGTTCAAGCACAAAGTGACAAGGCAATACTGTGTACAATTATTTCATGACTTCTTCGACTTACCTAAGAGTTTGACAACTAATTTTTCAACTCTCTTGTAAAACTTTTTATGACTGAACTTCTTGACCATCGCCTCTTCTTACAAACGTTATTTTAAACAACATATCTACAAGCTAAAGCTTGGTTAAGTACCTTTAATGAATTTATAACTTTGTTGGTTGCAATCAATTACAATAACTTTGTAGAGTGTGGTGTAACAGAGTTATTTCCTATGTTATTGAAACAATCCACCAGAAGAATTATAGAGATAAAGTAAGATGTAGTTTAGATTACATAAGTGATCATGTGAGTTGTCTAAGGCTAATATTCGATTTGAGATCAGAAAATGTGTGGTTTTAACTGTTTTGAACATTAGGGCAAAAAGTAGTTTGGGTTCTTTAATTGTTATTATATTTATTTATTGACAGTTTGTAAAACAAGAAATTTTGGTTTGGTCGAAAGTTTTAAGACTATAATTATTGTGATAAATGACAAATAAACTATGCCTAAGACTTTTTGATTTCATTTGTTCTTGTGCTGAAGGTGTGTATTCCCCCTATGAACTCTTATATTTCAACAGGGGTGAATACAAGTAAACACAAACCTGCAGCTAAAGAACTAAAGCTATAACAAATGTAATAAAATATAATTCGTGTTATTGAAATTAAAATAGTACTAAAACATAAATAAGAATTTCTTTATTCGAGTGGTCAAATAGTACATACATTCTTTAATATAATTTGAAATATTACACATTACCATATTAAACTATTCTTCAGAATACGTTCTTATTATGTTTTTTTATGAAAACGTTAATGGTAAAAAGTAAATGTACTTATAATCAAAATTTATTAAGTTTATAAAACTATAGTTGTTGAGTAAAGTTATTGGTATTGGCTTTGACAATAGCTTAGGTCATTTAGTTATTAAATTTTCATTTCCATTGGGTTAATTCCAATACAGATACTGGTGAATTCTTTTTTAACCACTTAATGGTAATCATAAACCACATTGACCACCACATGGTAAAAACAACATTGAATAATTCAAGAACCAAAACCAACTCATTTAAACAGGTGTTTATATAACTGTTGCATTTGGATTGCAATTGAACCCATTTTATATACATTGCACATTGGATACAGCTACATAAAGTACATCCACCCTAAACCTGTTGAATTTTTACTATTCAAATCATAAATATATTTTTTTATCAGTACATTTAGTTTTCACTATAAATCTATTTTAAACCCAAAATATTATATACATTTGTCATACTTACATACCAGTTATTATACTTTAATATCTCAAAACAGCCAAATTATATTCATTAGTTTTGAATCGGTTTTTTTTTTTTTTGTAAACGTATAAATATTGTCATTAATCTTGTAACAGCGTTATTGTGGCTATTAAAAATATAAACCTTTGTTTACAAAGATTATTTTATTTACTTTTTAAGTATTAATACTTTTTTAGCATATTTTCAAACACGTTATCTCATATTTGACAGGTAGAATATCATCTGCATCGTCACTTTTCATCTACACTTGAACTTGTCAATGTTAATTTAGTTTAAAATAGTCATTTATGAAGATGTACCAATTTGAAAAAAGTACTTTGATTTTGCCAATACCACATTACATAGTAAACATTTACATTCACAATCTTGATCTATTTCAAGTATCAATAATCATCCCAGACGTTTTCTCGATCACCTATCTCTTCAAATAAGCTCTTTGGTTTCTCTTCTATTTTAGGATTTTCAGGATACCAGTCTTCTATTCTAAACGCATACTCCGGATGCTCTTCTTTCTTGCCAGGTTCGTAATCACAACTTCCCAGACAACAATCGCTTTCTATCAGACGGTATCTTTTCAGTAAAAATTCCTGAGTGACTCCATAATGAGCTAGGTCTATAGCCAATCCAGCCATGGCGATATCTTGGTTTTCATTACCTGTAACCGATTTAAGTTTAACTTAAGTAAATACCTTAGTATGGCTTGTGAAAAAAATTAATACTTATTTTCTCGGTTACCGAGTGGTTGCACTGCTCGCAATCAAATCTGAAGTGTATTGGTTTCGATTGCGAGATTGCTTATGGATCCAGAGGCCATTTGTCGTTGGGCAATCAATTAATGACGCTGTCCAACAAGAGGTACACGTTAAATTGTAACAAAACTTGGGATTGGACCGTACAAAAAAGAATGCCAATGGCATGAAAAACTCACAAATATTGGTTGTAAAAGTGGTGTATATGTTAATGGTTTAATGCATGTAGCTAATTAATTTTGTATGTCCTAAAATATGAACAAAGACCATCATAAATCTACATTTCAAAAGGTGTACTCTAATAGTCCTTATAAATATGAATGTCCGACTTCCAACACTTTTATCGTTACATCTACGCTTATACTGTAAACACAAGAGGGTAATTACAACAAAATTAAGACTGGAAATCGATTTAGATCTTTCAAACCGGCCTATAAGTCAAGGTAAAGTCTAAAGCATCAAGGTAAAGGTCTGATGATAAGCGGAAAAACAGGCCGAAAAGTATTGCAAAGGTAGAATATTATATTATTATTGTAAAATATATACTACCTATCTTGTGAGATATGTGTTTTACCTGTATTGTATCTTCAATGAGTAAACGACAATCAAGACTATATTGTATAATACTTATGTCTAAGGTTACAAAAACCCCTTGGGAAGCTAGCTAGTGGTAGAGTGCGGGACTTCGGTCCCTGACGTCCTGAGTTCAAATCCCACCGAATCACTAATGGTTTTTATCCAATTGATAACGTTGCAACCTTAGCCTGAACTTATGTAAAAAAACATTCCTGGGCTCGTGTCCAGCGTACTAGTAAAAAAAGTTACAAAAACCTCAAATATAAAAAAAAACCTTTCATAGATACTTAATTGAACATAAAATATATTGCACTAAGGAGAACCAAGGAATGATATTGACAGTCACAAAAAACAAACAGCATTACTTCTTCTAGCAAACATGACTACTACCACCACGGTATTACTTTTCCCAATTACTTGCGGCCATTTTTCATCACAATCAGCCTTACAGAGGAAGACGTCTGTAAACAAGAGTTTCAGAGAATGAAGAGAAAGCAACTGTGAGTGGTTTTGAAGGGTTTTCTTTGTTGTAGAGGAGTTTACACAGTTATACAAACACACCTCTTTCTCCTCAAGCAGCTGTTCTTTTTCATTCTTTTTCGTGTTTGGTGTGTTGCATAAGTATGCGTTAAATTTAACATGTACTTGAATAGTTTATAACCTTTATATTGTTGTTCATTTTTTTTATCAACAAAATATGAAATTATAATCCACTATGCAACGTATTCATCTTAGGTGTCACAATATTAACAGCTGATAAATCAAAGTAATAAGCTTGTCAGTCATGCAACATTAATAAACAGCTGATCAAATTTTCAACACTATTACCGTCTTTTTTTAGTTGATCAACAATGTTGATGGTCATTAAATTATTCAACAACATAAACAGCTGATCAATCAATAATCAATAAGTGTTGATCACACACTTTTAAATTTAATCAGAGACGAATAAAAAAGTAATATCACCTAAAACGATCTGAATTACCAGTCATTTATTGGCTAACCACCCCCGTTCTGTTATATTTATGAGTTTGAATTATCTACTTCATTTAAGTCCTTCTACACCTAAAAAGCTCTTGTTAACAGTCTTGACGTCCCTGTTTAATGTTTATTATTTTTACCCCATTAGGTGGACAATGAATAAGACCCCTAATTTTTTTTGTAAATAGAACCATAAAATTTATAATTTATTGAACTTAGGTTTATCCTAAGCTTACACAGATAAACAGAGACTTACCACTATAGTCTCCCAAAAAGGCGATATCTAGCCTCTTACCACGAAGCTCAGGATATTGGTATTTTGGTTCTGGTTGGATTTCCCACCCTCTTCCTTCATACACCCTATAGTCAGCTCCGATAAGAAAACTGTTAAGATACGACAAAACATGTATCAGTGTTGTCTTGAACAAAATGTCTTCAATTTTGTAAGCGAAAACTCCTAATGTCAACTCATACTTTATCGAGGAGTTTTAATTTTTTTTATGTATATATATATATATGTATATAAAGCTTAGAGAAATCATTATTGACTTTTTGAGTTTTAGCGAATTTCCCATATAGGGAATAAGCTATTACCGTAGTACTCATGGTAAGACCTGGACGCGGGACCGATTTTTTTTTTCGTTTTGATGTCCCTAGAGGCCAAAAACACCATCCGTTCAAATTCATATATATATATATATATTTATATATTTATATATATATATATATATATATATATATATATGTGTCCGTCAGCACGATAACTCGAACAAAAATGATCCGATTTTGATGAAATTTGGTACAAACGTGTAAACCTACGTTTATTCGAACGAGTTCGCGATCCAGCATGATCGGACCATGGGAACGGGTGTTTACGGGGGGTTTTATGGGGTAAAAATAGGTTTTTCCCATTTTTGACCCAAAAAACATAAAATTTAGCAATTTATTTCCAGACCATTTTGTAGAGCTTAAAAAAACAAATAATTTAGTATATTGAAGCGTTATTATGCGCCTAATGGTTACGGAGAAAATTCCAAAAAATTGTAAATTTAAAATTCCCATGTTATTCTTATGGAGAATAAGTAAACTGTTGTAGTTTGCTTGTTTATGAACATATTTTGATCAAATTTGGAAAATGTTTTTATTTCTTACTAACTATTAACATTTTACAAAAATAAAAACAGTTTTACCCTCCCTGATGCAGCACACCTAAGTGCTTGTTAAACAAATTATATTTAAATCGGGAATAAATGTTATATTTTTAAGTAGACATTTCAGTGTAAATGCAATCAGTCAAATGGAAATTCGCTTAGTCTGCAGGTTTGCTGCGGCGGGGGTATTTAGATATCGAACTTCTTCTAAAAAATTATTATTACAATAGTTTTGGGGTTTTGGTGATTTTCTTTAATAAAGGGGCTTTCTGGTTAATTTGGCATATTTGATCTTTTAGTAAAAATTAAATATAGACAGAAAATTTATTATTTAGTTCAATTGTTTTATGTATAAGTAAGCTTTAAACAGTAGAATGTACCCCAAGTGTGGCTAGAAAAAAACTATGATTATTTAAATAGATTAGTAAATACAGTAGGTACTTTGTTAATTTATAATAGTATAGTATCAAATCACACTATAGTATTTCATTTTATAAATGGTGTGCTCAATGTATACACTATAAAGTCTAGTAAAGCATTTCTTAAGGGGTATTTACTAAGTGATAAGGTTAGCAGGTGTTGCTTGCAGCTGAACTAAAAGATTAGTCTCTTAGATATAAGGGCTGTATATTACCCTGTTGCTACCCCTGGGATGTTTATTTATTGTGTTCAAGCATTATATTTTTGTGTGTATCCACGCCTACTATTGATATAATACTAGCTTTTCCCACTTTCTAAACGTTAAATTACGTTTTATTGTGACTGGATGTAAAAAATTAAATATATTTTTTCTTGTTCAGGTCAATGTATGACGGATCAATTTTAAATGTGATGTTTTTCCATCTACTTATTCTAAATCTTTTTAAACCGTCTTGACCAAAAATAATATTTGTTCTGTTTTTCTTGAGAGCAGACACACATTAAATTTCAAATTTCATACAGTGAAATTAATATTCAGGCTATACATTTTTATGTGCAGTTAAATTTGTTTATAAATATATCATTTCTCACCAATCTTATTTTAATTGTAGGCTACAATATTCAGTTTTTGGTTCTTAATCATATATTATGGGATCGTATATTAGTTAGTTATTATTTAAAGTAATTGGTTATTGATTCATTTGGAAATGCAAATGATAAATTTCTACTATACTCATACAACAACTTTCATACATTAGTGTCAATACTATGATCTCCTGTCTAATCACTAATACCAACTATATAAAAAGAAACTGCAAGAGTTACCCATTACTTGAACGCTATGTCCGACATCCCTTCCGAGATATGTTTCTTCTGCAGCTCCTGTATTACTTTAACACATTCTTCATCAGACGTGCACTTTGGTACGTCAGTTTTGTAAGTTATTGTAACATTAGCCACAGGATGTTTCAAAGCTAGTCCTTTCCTCTTCTTCTTTGCAGCACCCCAATCTTCCCGAGAAACTATGCATTCTGGGAACGAAGGCAACCCCAAAGATCCCAATGTGTCTGCGGGAACTCTTTCTTCTTCTGGTTCCCTCTTCTTGTCATCATCACTCTCGTAGTCTCCCTTATCGTAGCTGACATCACTGTCATCTTCTGAAAGCTAAGATAAATTTTGAATATTCTTCTGAAAGCTAAGGAATATTTATATTTTTTTTATTTAAGGAATGTTTGGAATATTTATATGGATGGTAAAGAATGTGTATAATAATCTTTTAAAATGTAAGGAATGTTTGGGATATTCTTTAAAAAGGTAAGGAATATTTACATTTTTTCTTAAAACTATGGAATGTATGAAATATGTTTTGACGGATTAAGGTTGGTTTACGATATTCTTGTGAAATCTTTAGAATACTAAGAATATTATTCTTCAATCCAAAAAAAAAAAAAAAAAAATTCATCATAAGTAATAGTTAAGCATGTCTTTTGCAAGCAGATATCTTTTTGCTTGGCATGGTTCCAGTGTTTGTTGATTTTTACTTGGGGCCTTGTTTTAGGGAAACGGTATAATTTTGATAAAATAAACTGTTTGGTGTTTTTTTTAATTTTTTTTATTATGTATCTACATAAACGTATATCACAGAAATATATCAGAAAGAGGGAGTTTATTTTTACATTATTGATTTTAAGTTATTTTAAAATTATATGGAGACAATTTACTACAAGTGCATCTTAAATGTATTTTTAATATACAAATAAACTAGTGTTGATTTTAAATATGAAAAATCTACCTCATATTTAAGTTTACGAAATGCCTATTCCCTACAACAAAGACAAACAAAATTTTACTTACAGGATTTCTTGCTCTAATTTTTTTAACAACCTTTTTAGTGACACTCATATTTTTCACACAAAACTTTCCATTACTTGCCGTTTACTATGAACAGAAACCAGTTCATCACAGCATGTTTATTTACAAGTTATATTTTAAAAGGGGTTATCTAATAGATAAAAAACCGATTATAGAACTATTGTTTACATTATGAGTTATATGTCATAAAGTAGTTTTACTGATGTTCTAACGTGTTTATTAACAGAAGTTATACTATATAAATCCATTATAGAGGGTGGTAATGAAGTCCGAAGACAGTTAAATGTTTTCTAAACGACAACAGATATATCAATAAGATTTGGTACATCAACACCACACCTAAAAATCTACTTTTTTTTAAGAAATATCATGGGTACTTCCCGCAAGGAGTCAGAAGGAAATCTTAAATAGAAGCATATGTTGACATGTACATCAAATTAAAGGTCTTTACTAGCAGAATATAATGCCGCAAATTTGAACTCAAACGGACAACTATTATACGCATACTCCTCAGGGTTCACAGCCCTAGGAATCGGAAGAAAATTGTTAACGTAATCATAGGTCGATATGCACATCAAATTAAAGGTCTTCACTAGTAGATTACAATGCCGAAAATTCAAGCTCAAAAGAACGCCTGAGTAAAAAATGGCAGTCATTCAAAGATTCAAAATGGCAGATTCAAGAAATCTTCGAATGGCTGCCATTTTGCGCAGGATCAACCTTTTACGGCATTGTATTCTACTAAAAAAGACCTTTCATTTGATGTGCATATTGACCTATGATTCCATTTAAGATTTTCTTCCAACTCCTTGTGGGCCGTCCCCCTGAAGAGTTATTGGATCACTGAATATGAGTTAAAATAAAGTTTTATGCTCTGTAGCTTTGTACCAAGTATAGTAGCTCCATCCACATTTTTTTAACTGTCTTCGGACTTTATTACCACCCTAAACAATTTGTGTAAAACTTGTTTCCATCATGAAATGTAATAGCTCTAGTGAGGCATTTGTCGTAAACAAATATTTACATTGGTCAACCATGAATGCTGTTTATGCCAGTAACATATGATGTGCTACTTGAAATATCACTTACTAAATGTAAAAAAATTTTAAAGTAATTATTCAAAAAGCTTAGCTAAAAACTAATAACAAGAGTTTCTATTTTAACGAGTTGAAATAATAATTGCATGTTTGGTCCTTTGTTCTAATAATAATAACCAAAGATTTTCCGAATCCGAAATACAGACGTACTACGAGGTATCATATGTTCAATGTCACTGGAACAGTTTTAGTATCAAATCACGTTTGCAATACCAACATAACCTAAGTCCACACACTGCCCAGCAGAGAAAGGACAACTTATTGTTTTGCAAGCTGGTTTCCACACGTTTGTTCATATTAGCTTGTTCATATTAGCGTGCTCAATAGAAAATTGGTTTTATACCCATTGGAAAAGGTATTTTTTTATAAAAATAAAATGAACTTGCCAACATTATTTGGTGATGAATACATTTGACGTAAATTAATTTATAATTTAAGTAATGGTTAATGGTTTAAGGTTTGTTTTGAGTATTATTTCAGGAGGTTTCAACCGTTTCTGGTTGTTGAAAACTACTATTTTTTACTTTCTCCCCCTATACCATAGTATATGGAGAAAGTATTGTTTTCGTCAAAATTTTCGAGTTTGAGTTTTGAGTGGATATATTCGTTTTGGGTCCCCCTGGACCCAAAAAAGTGGTTTTCGAAGTGATGTCTGTGTGTGTGTGTGTGTGTGTGTGTGTCTGTGTGTCTGGATGTGTACAGAGCTAGAGACCACACCTGTGGTCCGATTTCGATGAAATTTGGTATGTAGGTTCTAATCCATGGTATCTCCAGGCGTTTTTTTCATTTTTTTGAAATTTTTATTTTTAATGGGGATTTTCCCATAAAAACCCATAAAAAACCGGAAAAATCGGATTTTCTCAAAAATGGCCCGAACGATTTTGATAAAAATTTAGTATGTTGTAGCCGTTTAAATTCTGAATAAAATGGTACAAATCCCATATCCGTAAAAATTACGGTTTAAAAGTTATGGTCAAATATGTTATTTTCCCATAAAAACCCTATAAAATAACGAAAATAGGATTTCAGAAAAAAATCCAAGTTTGATTTAACATAGTCTGTTATAGTCTTTACAGTTTTGATAGTTTTTTTTTAATTTTTTAGAAATTTTTATTTTTAATGAGGATTTTCCCATAAAACCCCATAAAATAACGGAAAAATATGATTTTCCCAAAAATGGCCCGAACGATTTTGATAAAAATTTAGTATGTTATAGTCCTTTATATTCTGAACAAAATGGTACAAATCCCATTTCTGTAAAAATTACGGTTCAAAAGTTATTGTAAATTATGTCATTTTCCCATAAAACCCCAATAAAATAACAGAAAAATCGGATTTCCCAAAAATTGCCCGAACGATTTTGATAAAAATTTAGCATGTCATATAGAACATGCTACCTATTGGCCTATTGGTTTGATATGATAAAATGTTTTGTATGTGTGTTTTTTTATGTTTATTGTCCTTTAAATTCTGAACAATATTGTACAAATCCCATTTGCGTATATTTACACTCACCACTTACACATGATAAAGGTTGTTGACAAACTTATGGGAGAAAGTATGTGTCAGAATGCTGATACCGTTTATTTCTTTAAAATCTGAATGGTATTTAATGCGTTGAAAACAATATTATTTCAAGAAAATTTAGAGGATTTTTTTCTATCATACTACCTGTTGCTTCCGATATATACTCGTGTTTCGGATCGTTTCACCAATAGTATACAACATTTAATATATTTTGTTGAATACACGGTATGAATAATATTGATTTGATTTGATATATTACTTGTTTTCATTGTTTTTTTGTGGTCATCCAAATGAGCGTAATTATTATTTGTAAGAAAACCATTACTTAAATTTCTTATAAAAGACCAAATAATAATTTTGCCTAAGAGGTGAATTATTGAAAAGGATAATCATTACCATCGGCTTTTGTAATAAAGCTTACAAATTACTCCTAAAATAATAGTTACATTGTGACTAATCCCATTTTATAACAAAGCTTTATAAGTTTGAGCAACTAGTTTGTCAACAAAGTAACAAATTTCAAGAGTATTTCATAAAGTTTCGTCCTTGCTACAGCTATTGTAAACTAGCCCTTTCATCTTTGAGCTTTTCTCTAAATTAAATTCGTTAATGTCGAATAGCACTGATTCAACTTGTTTCTTGATTTAAAAGCACAGTTTCACTTTGAACAACTCGTAAAAGTTTGGTTTAAAGGAGTTGTATATTGTAGAGTTTTTAATGAGAAACAAGATTTTATTATTCTATTTGTAATAGAATTTATAACCAAATGAAAAAAAGAATACTCATAATATCCTTGTTGTTTAATACTCAAAGGGTTAACATACTGGGATCAACAATTAAAATTTTAAGCAGTTTGCTTGATATTGTTCGCATTTCTTCAGGCTCCTATTATTTTTGCAGAGTCTTTATGAATTGGTTGAGATACCCAGTTACAGAGTGTCCCTTAAGTAATACAATCAGGAATAGATTTATAAACAAACAAGAATAAAATGTTTCATATAAATTTAAAATACAAAAAAGATAATATCTTGCTAACAGGGTATTTTTGGAAAAAATGTTATCCTTGATGTTTTTATTTTGACCCATTAACTCTATTTCTACATTTGAACATTTCTATTACTTACGAGACACCCTGTAGGACGGTGTGATTAGCCAAAAAGGCCTAACCTCAACATCCAAATTAAAAACTAACTTTTGACGCAAAACTGACCCCGTAACTTATGGTAAAAAGTTACACCATTTTGAATATCGGGTTTGGGAGGAGTGGGGGTTTAAATTTGAAAGATATGTAGTTTTTTAAAACCCACAGCAACCTATGATTTCAGTTTTTTGTTTGTTTTAACACTAGGGGTATTAACTACCAAAAACACATTTAAAAAAGTATTTAATTGTAATTATTCCTAAAACCTTTATGTAAGTTTACTCTTTTACCCTGTATTATTTTATGCTATTTTTAACTAACAAATGCTCTACTTTCTTTTAAATTACCCATATTTTTTCTTATATTTTCACTAATATTGACAACTTTATTACTCTCCTAGTTCTTCGTTCATCTTGTTCAAAATTCATCTGGGACTCCATCCCTGTGGTCCATAGCATCATAAAAGGAATCAACCAACCCCATGTCAATTCCTTTAGTCATCAATTCCAAGACGGCCCCCGTTGTTTCGGTAGGGTAAGTGGTATCTAAAAATTGTCAGTACAACAATTGTCAATAATTGTTATTTTGCTTGATTTTACTTGTTTATGTTTTATCAAAAAAGGTGGAGATGGACAAAACATGGTTAGACTTAAGTGGTGTATATGGATGGTAGGAGGGACTTGTCATGGAGAGGATATCCAGCTTCATTTTGTATTTGACAACACAATAACAGGTGGTTCTGTTAACTAGAAAATAAACCAGATAGGTGGGTTTAATTACCTATATCATTTGTGTACAGCATTGCAGAACTAGTTCCACAATAGGCAATACAAAGATAGCTTTTATACAATAAGAAAAATATTCTCTACAGAGACAGTAATTCGCTTCATGCGATCCTTTCTCTTGTATAGAAGACTGAGTTTCCAGGATCAGTATTCTGTGTACGAACTACAGTTCTCTACTATTCCAATCTAACAGAATATGGCTAAATCATATTTTTTTTAACTGCAGAAAAGGTGTGTCTTGTTATTTAAGGAATATTTTCTCATTTTTTTATGGGTAGCCTCCGGATTACCAATGTACAAAATAAGTGGTTTAATTGCCTGTATTTTTACTTGGTAATCCAAATGGTTGTAGCAACTAGTTTTAGCTCAACACTGGAGCCATCGTCAGACTTTACAAGGAAATTGTAGTTTCTTCTTAAAGTTGTCATAGTTCACACATATATTTACAAAACATCGAAACATTAAACCACGACACGCAAGATTAGTTTAAATTCCCGCTGGTTGCGTCGTATCTAGTCATGCATGTTGTGTTTTTAACGTTTCGATGCTTTGTAGATATATGTGTTAACTGTGACGACCTTCAAAAGAAGCGACAATGTACTTGTAGCCTGATGATGTTGAGCGGAAACTAGTTGCTATCGTAACTATTTGGATAACCAAAAATACAGGTATTTAAAACATTTATATTGAATATTTGCTGTGGAAAAAATAACTAAGACAATTAGTAAGGTACAAAGTTTTTGCAAGTCTGGATCTGGAATCTGATCTTGTCCTCTGGTTCCAGACAAAAAAGAATTTGACAAACCGTACTTACCTTTGTAATCCCCGATGTAGGCAATGTCCATTCGAGCTTCTCTATTGAGAGGGTAGCTGTTAATGGTGGGGGAAGGCTGGACGTACCACCCTCTTGCCTCAAACACAGTCCCATCATGGCTTACTAGGAAACTAAAAATTTACATTTTTGTCAGTTAGTGTTTGCCAGTGGCATTTGTATATAATGACAAATTTTACTTTTATCATACAAAAGTGGTCCAACAACCTCAGACATTTTGGATATGTTGGGATTGAACAAGATCTCTTGTGCCAAAGCCCAAAACTATACACTAAGAATTATACAAACCCTGACAAATATTGACTTGAAGCTAAAAATATATCGTGCATTCAAGGTGTTCACCATTTTCCTACAATACAAATCTGTGTTGTTCCATTGATCTTTTGCAATGAAGAAATAAATGTTCTATTATATCACTAGATACAGAGTGAAGTGCTGCAATTGGTGTTTCAGAAACTATTAGATCTAAAAAAACAAAATGGGGAACTTCAACTATTTTCCTATGCCAAAATATCAATTCCACTTTTTTTTTAACTGCCATTTTCCAATATGGCGAGTAGCTTTAAAATGTCTTGTTAAAAATTTCCTTAGGTAGTGATCATGTTGGTCATGAACAAACATAATACATAGATTAAACACTACTTTATACCATTCAAAGTCAATAAACTGAAATCCGATGCAATAATTTCGGATTTAATTGCTTAAAACTAAACAATTTATTTTGTAATGGTAAAAAAGGGCATAGATAGACGACAATGTATGTAACCTACATCATAGTTATTCTAACAACTCAAGAAGCTATTATAAAATTGTAACTGTAAGACCACAAAAAAATCTCAATCTACCAAGCTACTAACTTGTAAGGTATGTCAGGCAGTCCGATGACATCCATGTAGTATCTCTGCAGATCCCTCACCCTCAGTATACAGTCCTCCTTGTTGTAGCATCTGTCTATATTGGCACTCATACAACTCATGTCCAACACCATGGTCATGATCGGCCAAGATGTTCTAAGAGTGATGTTTTCGACTGGTCTTGCCCCCCACTCTTCTCTCGTCACGCAGGATAACGGCCTCCCTTTGACTGGAAATGTTTAAGTATTGTTAGATCAGTCTATGCCTGGTACTGAGTAATTTAAAATGAAGATGAAAAGCCTGGCTTAGTACTAAGGCAGTAGAGGCACAAACGTATGACTACTGATGCATTGATTGAGGGGTGTCTAAAAGCTATGGCATTATTTCCTGGCCTGAATTTTTTGTTGAAATATCTTTGAGATTTTGTTTTTAATAGGTAGGCCTATCGGTACATATAGTAATATTCATTTGAGCTAATACTAAGCATGTTGGCATGTAGATGTTAGTATCCCTATTGTCATTGCTGAGTCAATTTTTGTTTGTTATTTAAGGTAAAAACTATTGAATATTAATTACCATATTACTGATTTGTATAAACACATTTCTATTATGTCCTGGCATCTCAATCCAAGTTTTTATTTTAAATTATCCACATGACATTATGAATTAGTCTTACCCATATCAAATGGCAATTTAGATCGATCATAAGAATTAATATCTTCATATTCAGAACTACTTTCACTTTCTTCAATTTCAATGCCTTCTGATTCTGATACTAAACCTAGACGTTTTGGATCTGAGAAGGCTAATTTCCAAACATTGTGTTCAACTAAACGTTTCTCGTCCTTGTTTAACGATGTTGTCAACTCTTTCCCCATAGCTATGTCACCAGCCAATAATAATTGGCTTCAAGTTGAATAAAACTACATTTTCTTCAAGTTGTGTCAGTCATGAATAAGAAACTATTTTTTCTCTCAAAAACAAAACAAGTTTTATCAATACGATACATTTGTGGTTCATTAAGATAGTCTATCTAAACTGCAGTCATATTTATTTAAGATTATTGTGTGAGCTCAAGAGTATCATGTAAAATATTGCGTCTAATTGGTATTAAAATGTGCCCACAAGATATAAAATTAAATAGATAACGTTATTGAGCCTTTTATCTTGTAGACAATTAAATTTGTTCTCATGAAATGAAGTAGTGTGATTCATTAAACTAATTTGTTGTGATTAATTCCAAATAAACAAAAACTGATATGGCCCCTGTAATTTACACATGCATATTTTAATAAAACTGGTTTTTATTTATAAGGAAAAAATGAGTGTTGAGATGATTGCAATTTTAAATTAGGGTAAAAAAATTGGGGCTTTGGGACACTGGAATAAATGTGTCAAAAAGTTGTACAACAAATTCAAAGAGAACAGTGTACAATTAAATAAATATTTTCAATATAAGAAATTATACATTAGAATTGTGAAACTATACGAGTAATTTTTTGACTGGCTGTGTCATGAAACAACAAACCAATTTTTAAACGTATAAATAATCAAATTCTCTGATCAAGTTTTATTATTAGAATGACACATTTTAGCGAATTTCCCATAAAGGGAATAAGCTATTACCGTAGTACTCATGGTAAGACCTGGACGCGGGACCGATTTTTTTTCGTTTTGAGGTCCCTAAAGGCCAAAAACACCATCCGTTCAAATTCATATATATATATATATTTATATATTTAAATATAAATATATATGTGTCCGTCTGCACGATAACTCGAGCAAAAATGATCCGATTTTGATGAAATTTGGTACAAACGTGTAAACCTACGTTTATTAGAACGAGTTCGTGATCCAGCATGATCGGACCATGGGAACAGGGGTTTACGGGTTTTATGGGGTAAAAATAGGTTTTTCCCATTTTGACCCAAAAAACTTAAAATTTAGCAATTTCTTTCAAACCCAATTTGTAGAGCTTAAAAAAAAATAATTTAGTATATTGAAGCGTTATTATGCGCCTAATGGTTACGGAGAAAATTCCAAAAAATTGTAAATTTAAAATTCCCATGTTATTCTTATGGAGAATAAGTAAACTGTTGTAGTTTGCTTGTTTATGAACATATTTTGATCAAATTTGGAAAATGTTTTTATTTCTTACTAACTATTAACATTTTACAAAAATAAAAACAGTTTTACCCTCCCTGATGCAGCACCTAAGTGCTTGTTAAACAAATTATATTTAAATCGGGAATAAATGTTATATTTTTAAGTAGACATTTCAGTGTAAATGCAATCAGTCAAATGGAAATTCGCTTAGTCTGCAGGTTTGCTGCGGCGGGGGTATTTAGATATCGAACTTCTTCTAAAAAATTATTATTACAATAGTTTTGGGGTTTTGGTGATTTTCTTTAATAAAGGGGCTTTCTGGTTAATTTGGCATATTTGATCTTTTAGTAAAAATTAAATATAGACAGAAAATTTATTATTTAGTTCAATTGTTTTATGTATAAGTAAGCTTTAAACAGTAGAATGTACCCCAAGTGTGGCTAGAAAAAAACTATGATTATTTAAATAGATTAGTAAATACAGTAGGTACTTTGTTAATTTATAATAGTATAGTATCAAATCACACTATAGTATTTCATTTTATAAATGGTGTGCTCAATGTATACACTATAAAGTCTAGTAAAGCATTTCTTAAGGGGTATTTACTAAGTGATAAGGTTAGCAGGTGTTGCTTGCAGCTGAACTAAAAGATTAGTCTCTTAGATATAAGGGCTGTATATTACCCTGTTGCTACCCCTGGGATGTTTATTTATTGTGTTCAAGCATTATATTTTTGTGTGTATCCACGCCTACTATTGATATAATACTAGCTTTTCCCACTTTCTAAACGTTAAATTACGTTTTATTGTGACTGGATGTAAAAAATTAAATATATTTTTTCTTGTTCAGGTCAATGTATGACGGATCAATTTTAAATGTGATGTTTTTCCATCTACTTATTCTAAATCTTTTTAAACCGTCTTGACCAAAAATAATATTTGTTCTGTTTTTCTTGAGAGCAGACACACATTAAATTTCAAATTTCATACAGTGAAATTAATATTCAGGCTATACATTTTTATGTGCAGTTAAATTTGTTTATAAATATATCATTTCTCACCAATCTTATTTTAATTGTAGGCTACAATATTCAGTTTTTGGTTCTTAATCATATATTATGGGATCGTATATTAGTTAGTTATTATTTAAAGTAATTGGTTATTGATTCATTTGGAAATGCAAATGATAAATTTCTACTATACTCATACAACAACTTTCATACATTAGTGTCAATACTATGATCTCCTGTCTAATCACTAATACCAACTATATAAAAAGAAACTGCAAGAGTTACCCATTACTTGAACGCTATGTCCGACATCCCTTCCGAGATATGTTTCTTCTGCAGCTCCTGTATTACTTTAACACATTCTTCATCAGACGTGCACTTTGGTACGTCAGTTTTGTAAGTTATTGTAACATTAGCCACAGGATGTTTCAAAGCTAGTCCTTTCCTCTTCTTCTTTGCAGCACCCCAATCTTCCCGAGAAACTATGCATTCTGGGAACGAAGGCAACCCCAAAGATCCCAATGTGTCTGCGGGAACTCTTTCTTCTTCTGGTTCCCTCTTCTTGTCATCATCACTCTCGTAGTCTCCCTTATCGTAGCTGACATCACTGTCATCTTCTGAAAGCTAAGATAAATTTTGAATATTCTTCTGAAAGCTAAGGAATATTTATATTTTTTTTATTTAAGGAATGTTTGGAATATTTATATGGATGGTAAAGAATGTGTATAATAATCTTTTAAAATGTAAGGAATGTTTGGGATATTCTTTAAAAAGGTAAGGAATATTTACATTTTTTCTTAAAACTATGGAATGTATGAAATATGTTTTGACGGATTAAGGTTGGTTTACGATATTCTTGTGAAATCTTTAGAATACTAAGAATATTATTCTTCAATCCAAAAAAAAAAAAAAAAAAATTCATCATAAGTAATAGTTAAGCATGTCTTTTGCAAGCAGATATCTTTTTGCTTGGCATGGTTCCAGTGTTTGTTGATTTTTACTTGGGGCCTTGTTTTAGGGAAACGGTATAATTTTGATAAAATAAACTGTTTGGTGTTTTTTTTAATTTTTTTTATTATGTATCTACATAAACGTATATCACAGAAATATATCAGAAAGAGGGAGTTTATTTTTACATTATTGATTTTAAGTTATTTTAAAATTATATGGAGACAATTTACTACAAGTGCATCTTAAATGTATTTTTAATATACAAATAAACTAGTGTTGATTTTAAATATGAAAAATCTACCTCATATTTAAGTTTACGAAATGCCTATTCCCTACAACAAAGACAAACAAAATTTTACTTACAGGATTTCTTGCTCTAATTTTTTTAACAACCTTTTTAGTGACACTCATATTTTTCACACAAAACTTTCCATTACTTGCCGTTTACTATGAACAGAAACCAGTTCATCACAGCATGTTTATTTACAAGTTATATTTTAAAAGGGGTTATCTAATAGATAAAAAACCGATTATAGAACTATTGTTTACATTATGAGTTATATGTCATAAAGTAGTTTTACTGATGTTCTAACGTGTTTATTAACAGAAGTTATACTATATAAATCCATTATAGAGGGTGGTAATGAAGTCCGAAGACAGTTAAATGTTTTCTAAACGACAACAGATATATCAATAAGATTTGGTACATCAACACCACACCTAAAAATCTACTTTTTTTTAAGAAATATCATGGGTACTTCCCGCAAGGAGTCAGAAGGAAATCTTAAATAGAAGCATATGTTGACATGTACATCAAATTAAAGGTCTTTACTAGCAGAATATAATGCCGCAAATTTGAACTCAAACGGACAACTATTATACGCATACTCCTCAGGGTTCACAGCCCTAGGAATCGGAAGAAAATTGTTAACGTAATCATAGGTCGATATGCACATCAAATTAAAGGTCTTCACTAGTAGATTACAATGCCGAAAATTCAAGCTCAAAAGAACGCCTGAGTAAAAAATGGCAGTCATTCAAAGATTCAAAATGGCAGATTCAAGAAATCTTCGAATGGCTGCCATTTTGCGCAGGATCAACCTTTTACGGCATTGTATTCTACTAAAAAAGACCTTTCATTTGATGTGCATATTGACCTATGATTCCATTTAAGATTTTCTTCCAACTCCTTGTGGGCCGTCCCCCTGAAGAGTTATTGGATCACTGAATATGAGTTAAAATAAAGTTTTATGCTCTGTAGCTTTGTACCAAGTATAGTAGCTCCATCCACATTTTTTTAACTGTCTTCGGACTTTATTACCACCCTAAACAATTTGTGTAAAACTTGTTTCCATCATGAAATGTAATAGCTCTAGTGAGGCATTTGTCGTAAACAAATATTTACATTGGTCAACCATGAATGCTGTTTATGCCAGTAACATATGATGTGCTACTTGAAATATCACTTACTAAATGTAAAAAAATTTTAAAGTAATTATTCAAAAAGCTTAGCTAAAAACTAATAACAAGAGTTTCTATTTTAACGAGTTGAAATAATAATTGCATGTTTGGTCCTTTGTTCTAATAATAATAACCAAAGATTTTCCGAATCCGAAATACAGACGTACTACGAGGTATCATATGTTCAATGTCACTGGAACAGTTTTAGTATCAAATCACGTTTGCAATACCAACATAACCTAAGTCCACACACTGCCCAGCAGAGAAAGGACAACTTATTGTTTTGCAAGCTGGTTTCCACACGTTTGTTCATATTAGCTTGTTCATATTAGCGTGCTCAATAGAAAATTGGTTTTATACCCATTGGAAAAGGTATTTTTTTATAAAAATAAAATGAACTTGCCAACATTATTTGGTGATGAATACATTTGACGTAAATTAATTTATAATTTAAGTAATGGTTAATGGTTTAAGGTTTGTTTTGAGTATTATTTCAGGAGGTTTCAACCGTTTCTGGTTGTTGAAAACTACTATTTTTTTCTTTAAAATCTGAATGGTATTTAATGCGTTGAAAACAATATTATTTCAAGAAAATTTAGAGGATTTTTTTCTATCATACTACCTGTTGCTTCCGATATATACTCGTGTTTCGGATCGTTTCACCAATAGTATACAACATTTAATATATTTTGTTGAATACACGGTATGAATAATATTGATTTGATTTGATATATTACTTGTTTTCATTGTTTTTTTGTGGTCATCCAAATGAGCGTAATTATTATTTGTAAGAAAACCATTACTTAAATTTCTTATAAAAGACCAAATAATAATTTTGCCTAAGAGGTGAATTATTGAAAAGGATAATCATTACCATCGGCTTTTGTAATAAAGCTTACAAATTACTCCTAAAATAATAGTTACATTGTGACTAATCCCATTTTATAACAAAGCTTTATAAGTTTGAGCAACTAGTTTGTCAACAAAGTAACAAATTTCAAGAGTATTTCATAAAGTTTCGTCCTTGCTACAGCTATTGTAAACTAGCCCTTTCATCTTTGAGCTTTTCTCTAAATTAAATTCGTTAATGTCGAATAGCACTGATTCAACTTGTTTCTTGATTTAAAAGCACAGTTTCACTTTGAACAACTCGTAAAAGTTTGGTTTAAAGGAGTTGTATATTGTAGAGTTTTTAATGAGAAACAAGATTTTATTATTCTATTTGTAATAGAATTTATAACCAAATGAAAAAAAGAATACTCATAATATCCTTGTTGTTTAATACTCAAAGGGTTAACATACTGGGATCAACAATTAAAATTTTAAGCAGTTTGCTTGATATTGTTCGCATTTCTTCAGGCTCCTATTATTTTTGCAGAGTCTTTATGAATTGGTTGAGATACCCAGTTACAGAGTGTCCCTTAAGTAATACAATCAGGAATAGATTTATAAACAAACAAGAATAAAATGTTTCATATAAATTTAAAATACAAAAAAGATAATATCTTGCTAACAGGGTATTTTTGGAAAAAATGTTATCCTTGATGTTTTTATTTTGACCCATTAACTCTATTTCTACATTTGAACATTTCTATTACTTACGAGACACCCTGTAGGACGGTGTGATTAGCCAAAAAGGCCTAACCTCAACATCCAAATTAAAAACTAACTTTTGACGCAAAACTGACCCCGTAACTTATGGTAAAAAGTTACACCATTTTGAATATCGGGTTTGGGAGGAGTGGGGGTTTAAATTTGAAAGATATGTAGTTTTTTAAAACCCACAGCAACCTATGATTTCAGTTTTTTGTTTGTTTTAACACTAGGGGTATTAACTACCAAAAACACATTTAAAAAAGTATTTAATTGTAATTATTCCTAAAACCTTTATGTAAGTTTACTCTTTTACCCTGTATTATTTTATGCTATTTTTAACTAACAAATGCTCTACTTTCTTTTAAATTACCCATATTTTTTCTTATATTTTCACTAATATTGACAACTTTATTACTCTCCTAGTTCTTCGTTCATCTTGTTCAAAATTCATCTGGGACTCCATCCCTGTGGTCCATAGCATCATAAAAGGAATCAACCAACCCCATGTCAATTCCTTTAGTCATCAATTCCAAGACGGCCCCCGTTGTTTCGGTAGGGTAAGTGGTATCTAAAAATTGTCAGTACAACAATTGTCAATAATTGTTATTTTGCTTGATTTTACTTGTTTATGTTTTATCAAAAAAGGTGGAGATGGACAAAACATGGTTAGACTTAAGTGGTGTATATGGATGGTAGGAGGGACTTGTCATGGAGAGGATATCCAGCTTCATTTTGTATTTGACAACACAATAACAGGTGGTTCTGTTAACTAGAAAATAAACCAGATAGGTGGGTTTAATTACCTATATCATTTGTGTACAGCATTGCAGAACTAGTTCCACAATAGGCAATACAAAGATAGCTTTTATACAATAAGAAAAATATTCTCTACAGAGACAGTAATTCGCTTCATGCGATCCTTTCTCTTGTATAGAAGACTGAGTTTCCAGGATCAGTATTCTGTGTACGAACTACAGTTCTCTACTATTCCAATCTAACAGAATATGGCTAAATCATATTTTTTTTAACTGCAGAAAAGGTGTGTCTTGTTATTTAAGGAATATTTTCTCATTTTTTTATGGGTAGCCTCCGGATTACCAATGTACAAAATAAGTGGTTTAATTGCCTGTATTTTTACTTGGTAATCCAAATGGTTGTAGCAACTAGTTTTAGCTCAACACTGGAGCCATCGTCAGACTTTACAAGGAAATTGTAGTTTCTTCTTAAAGTTGTCATAGTTCACACATATATTTACAAAACATCGAAACATTAAACCACGACACGCAAGATTAGTTTAAATTCCCGCTGGTTGCGTCGTATCTAGTCATGCATGTTGTGTTTTTAACGTTTCGATGCTTTGTAGATATATGTGTTAACTGTGACGACCTTCAAAAGAAGCGACAATGTACTTGTAGCCTGATGATGTTGAGCGGAAACTAGTTGCTATCGTAACTATTTGGATAACCAAAAATACAGGTATTTAAAACATTTATATTGAATATTTGCTGTGGAAAAAATAACTAAGACAATTAGTAAGGTACAAAGTTTTTGCAAGTCTGGATCTGGAATCTGATCTTGTCCTCTGGTTCCAGACAAAAAAGAATTTGACAAACCGTACTTACCTTTGTAATCCCCGATGTAGGCAATGTCCATTCGAGCTTCTCTATTGAGAGGGTAGCTGTTAATGGTGGGGGAAGGCTGGACGTACCACCCTCTTGCCTCAAACACAGTCCCATCATGGCTTACTAGGAAACTAAAAATTTACATTTTTGTCAGTTAGTGTTTGCCAGTGGCATTTGTATATAATGACAAATTTTACTTTTATCATACAAAAGTGGTCCAACAACCTCAGACATTTTGGATATGTTGGGATTGAACAAGATCTCTTGTGCCAAAGCCCAAAACTATACACTAAGAATTATACAAACCCTGACAAATATTGACTTGAAGCTAAAAATATATCGTGCATTCAAGGTGTTCACCATTTTCCTACAATACAAATCTGTGTTGTTCCATTGATCTTTTGCAATGAAGAAATAAATGTTCTATTATATCACTAGATACAGAGTGAAGTGCTGCAATTGGTGTTTCAGAAACTATTAGATCTAAAAAAACAAAATGGGGAACTTCAACTATTTTCCTATGCCAAAATATCAATTCCACTTTTTTTTTAACTGCCATTTTCCAATATGGCGAGTAGCTTTAAAATGTCTTGTTAAAAATTTCCTTAGGTAGTGATCATGTTGGTCATGAACAAACATAATACATAGATTAAACACTACTTTATACCATTCAAAGTCAATAAACTGAAATCCGATGCAATAATTTCGGATTTAATTGCTTAAAACTAAACAATTTATTTTGTAATGGTAAAAAAGGGCATAGATAGACGACAATGTATGTAACCTACATCATAGTTATTCTAACAACTCAAGAAGCTATTATAAAATTGTAACTGTAAGACCACAAAAAAATCTCAATCTACCAAGCTACTAACTTGTAAGGTATGTCAGGCAGTCCGATGACATCCATGTAGTATCTCTGCAGATCCCTCACCCTCAGTATACAGTCCTCCTTGTTGTAGCATCTGTCTATATTGGCACTCATACAACTCATGTCCAACACCATGGTCATGATCGGCCAAGATGTTCTAAGAGTGATGTTTTCGACTGGTCTTGCCCCCCACTCTTCTCTCGTCACGCAGGATAACGGCCTCCCTTTGACTGGAAATGTTTAAGTATTGTTAGATCAGTCTATGCCTGGTACTGAGTAATTTAAAATGAAGATGAAAAGCCTGGCTTAGTACTAAGGCAGTAGAGGCACAAACGTATGACTACTGATGCATTGATTGAGGGGTGTCTAAAAGCTATGGCATTATTTCCTGGCCTGAATTTTTTGTTGAAATATCTTTGAGATTTTGTTTTTAATAGGTAGGCCTATCGGTACATATAGTAATATTCATTTGAGCTAATACTAAGCATGTTGGCATGTAGATGTTAGTATCCCTATTGTCATTGCTGAGTCAATTTTTGTTTGTTATTTAAGGTAAAAACTATTGAATATTAATTACCATATTACTGATTTGTATAAACACATTTCTATTATGTCCTGGCATCTCAATCCAAGTTTTTATTTTAAATTATCCACATGACATTATGAATTAGTCTTACCCATATCAAATGGCAATTTAGATCGATCATAAGAATTAATATCTTCATATTCAGAACTACTTTCACTTTCTTCAATTTCAATGCCTTCTGATTCTGATACTAAACCTAGACGTTTTGGATCTGAGAAGGCTAATTTCCAAACATTGTGTTCAACTAAACGTTTCTCGTCCTTGTTTAACGATGTTGTCAACTCTTTCCCCATAGCTATGTCACCAGCCAATAATAATTGGCTTCAAGTTGAATAAAACTACATTTTCTTCAAGTTGTGTCAGTCATGAATAAGAAACTATTTTTTCTCTCAAAAACAAAACAAGTTTTATCAATACGATACATTTGTGGTTCATTAAGATAGTCTATCTAAACTGCAGTCATATTTATTTAAGATTATTGTGTGAGCTCAAGAGTATCATGTAAAATATTGCGTCTAATTGGTATTAAAATGTGCCCACAAGATATAAAATTAAATAGATAACGTTATTGAGCCTTTTATCTTGTAGACAATTAAATTTGTTCTCATGAAATGAAGTAGTGTGATTCATTAAACTAATTTGTTGTGATTAATTCCAAATAAACAAAAACTGATATGGCCCCTGTAATTTACACATGCATATTTTAATAAAACTGGTTTTTATTTATAAGGAAAAAATGAGTGTTGAGATGATTGCAATTTTAAATTAGGGTAAAAAAATTGGGGCTTTGGGACACTGGAATAAATGTGTCAAAAAGTTGTACAACAAATTCAAAGAGAACAGTGTACAATTAAATAAATATTTTCAATATAAGAAATTATACATTAGAATTGTGAAACTATACGAGTAATTTTTTGACTGGCTGTGTCATGAAACAACAAACCAATTTTTAAACGTATAAATAATCAAATTCTCTGATCAAGTTTTATTATTAGAATGACACATTTTAGCGAATTTCCCATAAAGGGAATAAGCTATTACCGTAGTACTCATGGTAAGACCTGGACGCGGGACCGATTTTTTTTCGTTTTGAGGTCCCTAAAGGCCAAAAACACCATCCGTTCAAATTCATATATATATATATATTTATATATTTAAATATAAATATATATGTGTCCGTCTGCACGATAACTCGAGCAAAAATGATCCGATTTTGATGAAATTTGGTACAAACGTGTAAACCTACGTTTATTAGAACGAGTTCGTGATCCAGCATGATCGGACCATGGGAACAGGGGTTTACGGGTTTTATGGGGTAAAAATAGGTTTTTCCCATTTTGACCCAAAAAACTTAAAATTTAGCAATTTCTTTCAAACCCAATTTGTAGAGCTTAAAAAAAAATAATTTAGTATATTGAAGCGTTATTATGCGCCTAATGGTTACGGAGAAAATTCCAAAAAATTTTTAATTTAAAATTCTCATGTTATTCTTATGGAGAATAAGTAAACTGTTGTAGTTTGCTTGTTTATGAACATATTTTGATCAAATTTGGAAAATGTTTTTATTTCTTACTAACTATTAACATTTTACAAAAAAAAACTGTTTTACCCTCCCTGATGCAGCAAACCTAAGTACTTGTTAAACTAATTCTATTTAAATAGGGAATAAATGTTATATTTTTAAGTAGACATTTCAGTATAAATCCAATCAGTCAAATGGAAATTCGCTTAGTCTGCAGGTTTGCTGCAGCGGGGGTATTGTTTCTATTTATAATAATCAGTAAACAAGAAACTGATTAAATTCAATGCTAAATATTAATTGTATCCAATGATACATTTTTTACAATTATAATTTTACAAATTAAATACAGTATCAATTACACAAAGTACTTTTTCATGGAAAAGTAAATACATTTACTGACTATGATTATGGGATTTCTCCAAAACAATGACCTACCTAAAATTGAGCAATTGTACATGTATGAAATATGTAAAAAAAAACCTTGATGAGAGTTCTAAAGGAAGGTATTAATATTTCAATTAAAACTTTTTTACTCTTAGTTTTTAGCGTGTCTTACATTTGAAAAAATGTATTTCAAATTTACTCAAGCAAGGCATTTTGAAAAGTTCAAATAGTCTTGGGACTCTTAAATTGAACTAATTGAACTCATTTTTTAGTTCTGGTCAAGTCATGTTGACTTTTTGGCTGAATTGATTTATCTCTATGTTACTAAATTAATTTGTTGGAATACCTACAAATAAAGAAATCAAATGATTTTGTTCATCTTTAGGTGGTGTCTGTCTGTCTGTCTGGGCTGCTGTCACAACTAAAATACTAAATCGATACAGCCAAAATTAAGTACAAAGGTGGTTCACATATCTAGGAATGTCATGGGCCTATTCACTTCCCTTAGTTCCTCTCGGGCTACGCCCATTGGATATCCAAAGTTTTGTGATGAGGTTTTCAAAAGTAAATATTAATTGATCTCCATTAAAGCATGAAAAAATGCACAATGTTTACCTTTACGTTGGCATTTAAATGTAAACAATCAGAACTGCCAAATTAATGCTCATTTCACAATTTCAGACAGCTTGTCCAAATAAAAAATAGAAGTTAACGCAACGATTGTGTAAAGATAGTATTAACAACAAGAGTAGACAATTAGTCAGTAACAAAGCTACACAAATCATCTCACAACATTCTACACTCATCCTTCACTCATATTTTGATTAAAAAACTCACCTAGTTGGCGCCCCCATCTCATAGTTTTAATGGACTTAAAATATGTCTATATTTCGGAAGCATAATTCAACTAATTAAGAAATGTTTGATTATTCATTTCACCATTCACCATTTTAAACTAGAATTTTAACTAAGTTTAAGAGCCAAAGACCAAAATGCAATCAGAGGTTCTGAGGATACCTTAAACAGTATTGCCATCTTCATCTAGATAGCACAAGATCTTGGTTCTCTTAAGGTGGACTTGTCATGCTTATAAATGAGATTTAGGTTCAATATTTTTTATAATTAAACTCAGCTGGGTACATATAGGGTTTGCATGGTAATCGAGGTCTTAGGTTCGATCCAGAGAAAAGTCAGAAGCTCTTTAAAAGTTTTAAACTGGGCCCAGCTGTCCTTGATCAAAGGTCTTTTAGGACCTGGCTTAAGAACAAGCTAACCTCAACCATCACCTCATTCATAACCTTCACTATTTGCCTTAAAGTACTGACTAGGGAGTAAATCCAATCGAGTGTAGTAAGGAATTCCAATTGGAAGAAATCTAACTATCCTTATCTAATTTCATCTTTGTCCTTAAACCACCCACTACACCATGTTGAGCTAACTAACTCAAATAACAGCTAGATACTCACAAAGAGAATCCAGTGTTGTAAACTCGAAACCGTTTGGTCCATCATCAGGAATTTCATCCTCATCTGCAGAATATACTTCAGGACCTCCAATAAAGGATACCATATGTGCTTCAGATTTGATCTTTTCCTCTTCTGGTCTCTCCTTAATTGCCCTCTCGAATCTTTCCTTTTCAGTTTTTTTAATATCCGACACATCTTTCTGGTAGTCTTCATAAGTGTATGGTTTTCCTGCTGCGATGGCATCAAGTTTCGCCTTCATGACAGGGTCGTCGCAGTAGCTACAGTCCAAGTAAGGGGCCCGGTTTGGATTTCCCCAGTGCATGTTTGCATTCCAGTTCCCCCCTAGCCCACCCAATCCCGGGATACCTTGGTGGTGGGGAGGTCCCCCAAAAGGTCCGGTATTCATGTTTGTCTACTTGGCTGCCCAACACTATTCTCGCTTGGTTGTTGTACTATCTTGAATTGTTTCAATGTTAAGTGTCGCTAATGAATTTATGGTTTTTCAACATAGTTTAGATATAAGTTTATCAACGGTTTAATTTTTATCTACAATAAATTTTATCTGCTGAATGATTTTGTTTTCTTTGTTAAAAAAACTACTAGTACAACTAACATGTTGTGCAAGGTTGTGGTAGAACTTTGTGAGTGATTGTTTTAATTAATAGTAAGACTAGTAAGAGTATATTAAGATTTATTTAAAGTTTTGAGTTTATTATTTGTAATAAATAAAACTTTTACCTTTTATTTATTAATACTACAAAGTAGTTAACTCAGAAAATATTTTCTAATAACATCATTTAGAAAATTTCCCTGTATGGGATATAAGCCATTACCGGAAAAGAAATAAAGGAAAAGGCTTAGACCCAAGACCGATTTACTTTTTCATTTTGCTGTTCCCAGAGGCCAAAAACATTTTTTCAAATTTTTATATATGATATATATGTCCGTAAACACTTCTTCGGTCATTTTTGTATGATTTTGATGAAATTTCGCTAATATGTGGAGCTGGATAACCTTGATTGAATTCGCAAACTAGCAGTATCGGGTAATGTGGACACGGTGATATGGTGTTTTGAAATTTTTCAAAAAACTTTATGTAGAGCTTGAAAAAGAAATGTGTATGTTAATAAAGATTATTGTTAACACATTCGATGCGGCGGGTCCACCGGTGGACCCCGCGCGTCTCAGCTGAGGAGCGGGGGGTCCACCGGTGGGGGAGCGCGCATTGCATTGTTTGCCGGATCAGTGTGGTTCAGCCATTGTCGGGGGAACGTTGTAATCTTTACCAGCCTGTAGCTTATAATGCGAGCTTTATTCTGGTGTAGGTTGGTACAAAGATTTCCCGTAAAATCCCGTCTGGCAATGCTTTTGTCCCGTTTTCGGGGATTTTCTCAGTTCGAGCCGTATTACAAAGACTCTGGTTATTGATCCAGGCAGTGCTGCTACCTTTGGGTGTTTCAGTGAACTACGTCCACTTTCGGAGTAACGCAGAACAATCACCACTGCTCTTTTGTGATTCGTCTTACTGAGATATTTCAATACCAATAGCGATCGCTGATTCAGTTAGCGCGTCGGGGCTCCGCCCGGGCCTCGCCGCAATTGGCGAGCGCCTGTTTAAAGGTTTTCAGCAGCGAATGTGTTAAACAATTAAAGGTTATGGAGGAAATTCCAACAAAACTGTTCATTTAAAATTCCAATTTAATTCTTATAGGGTTTCTCCCTAAGAAATAAAACTGTTGTAGTTTGTTTGTTTATGGATGTATTTTCATCAGATTTGACAAATTGTTTTATTTCAGCAACTATGATGAAACAAAAGTTTGATTCCCATAAAACCTTTTCTGTCCCAATAGCGACAAATCAATAAACTGATACAAACTTGATAGAGCAAACAGATTGAACTAAAGTGAGTAACTCGCTCAATCCAGTTTGCAAACTCGAGTTGCAAGTTATTGGTCCAATAGGATCACAGTTACCCGTGTTGCAGACAGACTTAACCTCATATTGCATCTACAAATCTGCACAGTCTGCCTCGACATTGGCTGATGGATCTGACTTCAAATCCGATTGAGAATTACTAGAAATTTCTGACTAGATGGTTATGGTTGTGGCGATGGCAATCATAGCCTAATTGTAACCTTCAATTATAGAAGTAAAGTACATTTTTATCTGTTAGAATATAAACATCTCTTAATTATAAATATTGAACCATCTTTTGTTAGTTTTATTCTCTTTTAGTTTTGCATACTATTTCATTATTATATGTATTCTAATGTATATTTTTTTATAGTAGTGTGCTAAAGCTTGAAGTAAGTACAGTTTCATTGCAGTTTAATTGATTATTATATTAGTTGAGATGTTAATGGTATTTTTATTACCTTAGTTGCCAGTGAAAATAGAAATTAGAAACTAAGCTTATCAGCACAACTTATTCAAAATTTGATAGTGAGGTTGGTTTACAATTCTAGAAAGATTACAAAACAAAAATTTTTTTAGACTTTTTAAAAATAAAATACTACATTATACAATGATTTAACGTTGACCAATTTAATCGGTTTATAATACTTTTAAGATGAGTGAATTATTTTTGAAGAAATTATAAAGTAGATAATAAACTTTTATTTATGACAACAAACTACATTAACCCTTTCATTATTCCTACTCTCTCAAAAATATAATGACTTTAACTACCATCTTTTATCTTTTCTTCAAATGATAATCACATCACAACAATAAAAGACTTCTTGTCAAGTTGACGACAAACTAAGGACTGGAACTGATTCCAATACCATTAAAAGTCCAAGCAAAGTAAAGCGTTTGAAAAAGTATTTCAAACAGCTGAACTTTGTTCTGTCAAACAGAGAAATGTAATTGGTAAAAGTTTGATTAATTTAAGTTCCGGAGCGAATAAACGAGAACTGCAGACAATATTGGAATTGAAAAGCAAAAAAGGAATCGTGTTATTCTCTGCTCCTTGCAAATTGATTTTAACACCTAAATATGACTTTAGTCCTTTGGACAAGTTTTCTTTTTCTTTTTCTGATTTATTTTCTTGATCAAATAAAGAAATAGAAGATATTCTACTGTCTCTAATAAACACTTTACTAGTTATTTAAACGCTTCTGCTGACCTAAAATTAAAATATTTAAGTTTTAAAATCCAAAAAGAAAACTATTTTCACTTGTCTGTCATAGTAAGGTACAAGTTGTTTTTTTCTACCTAACCAATTCAATTAATTAGCTCTGGGTTTTTGGTTTTTTTATGCTTAAACCCATAACCTAGCAATACATTTTTGTTAAATCATCAGTGTTAAATCAAAACATTTTTAGGGCTGTTAAATTTTAATGAGTTGGCCAACAGCACTCTGGTGAACATTACATAGTTCAGTGAAAACTATGTCTGTTTAAAAACAAAGCCATCAAAACAAAAATTGTATACTGTATGTCCGTATTATTACTTCAAAAATAGTATTCAAAAAGGTCCTGTAAACATGTAAAAACGTAAATAACTTAACATTATATTTTGAAAAGTTTAATTAACTTACCGTATTAAAAATTTAAACCCGCATCTATTCCTGAAGGAAGAAACCATTCTTTAATGAACGATGCACTTACTACAAAATTATGTTGTGTATCCCAAAATTAGAATTAAAACAAAAATCTTCAAACAGCTGTTTTAAAATGAACAAACTGACAAAACAATGTTTATGCAAGTATCGTCTATAAATAAATGAGTTAAATAAATAAATTTACTTTTAATTGTAAAATAAATTAATGTGTTTATGATTAATGATTGCCAGGTTAAAATTAGCATCATAATAAATTTAAATTTTACTGATGCTTAAAAAATAAAAGCTAAAATTAGTGTTTAGTAAAATGTGAGTTTCCTTGATATTGCTTTTACAATGGAAATAAACTACACAGAGCAATGGCTTGGTCCTCAGGTACTAATAATTCAAAATAAATGTTAAGTCTATCTATATGGAACAATTCTTGGATTAAACTATTCCTTCTTTGAACGCTATTTGTAGCAAGAAAAGGTATTTTCCTGACTAGCCTTTTATTGATGGTTTCAAATTATCCATATAGAAGTTTTATTAACTCAAAATATACAGTATATTATTAAAAATAGATATATACAGGGTGATTGATATAAGTGTGCCAGCCGTTTTATTCGAAAACTATAAGAGATATCAAAAAAAGTTAAACCGTAAGTGCATTGGATTTTTTATTTAAAAAATTGTAGTCAAATAAAAAAAATTATTTTAGCCGCCATTTTTCCAATATGGCCGCCAACTTTGATTTTTCTTACGGAACACCCTGTATTTTATGATGTATTCTGGTAGAAAATGGAATTTTAAGACGATTTTATTCTTGTGATTTTTTTCATAAACCTAACCGTTTCAAAGATAATAATGGTTAACGTTTAGAAATTTCTGCATGAGAAAGAGTTTCGATAAAGGCCTCAATTCCGCTCTCCGCGTTCCTCTCTCCGCTCGCCGACTCCGCTCCTAGGAAGACTTAAGCAACTTAACTTAGCTTAAGCAAGCATGCCAGCTGTTTTATTCGAAAACCATTCAAAATTTCAAAACTTTAACCATTATTATCTTTGAAACGGTTAGGTTTATGAAAAAAATCACAAGAATAAAATCGTCTTAAAATTCCATTTTCTACCAGAATACATCATAAAATACAGGGTGTTCCGTAAGAAAAATCAAAGTTGGCGGCCATATTGGAAAAATGGCGGCTAAAATAATTTTTTTGACTTGACTACAATTTTTTAAATAAAAAATCCAAGGCACTTACGATTTAACTTTTTTTGATATCTCTTATAGTTTTCGAATAAAACGGCTGGCACACTTATATCAATCACCCTGTATTTACAAAGAAATTATAAATTCTTTAGGTAAAATGTATTAAAATGGTCAATTGTAAGATGAATTGCTATTAATAATGGAAAATAAATGTAGGCTTTTAAACATAAATGTCAATTTATCACATATTTATTGCATAACAAGAATGACAGCTTAAATTACAATTGTTGACATTTAACATACCCTGCATTGAAAGTTTTAAAAATACTTTAACTTTAAGATTAAACACCTGTCTGGCTTATAACAAAAATCTTAAAAGCTGGACATTTTTTCTGTGGTGGGGTATAGAAATCTCACGGACTTGTTAGGAATTTGATTTTAATCTTCATAATGAAAATGCTGGAATTACAGAATTAAAGTCAAAGTTTCATATTCAAAAGTGGTTTTACTTTTTATAAAAAGTCAAAATTTTCAACTGAGATATTTAATTTAACAAAGTTGTATACCGCCCACTTCACAAATTTGTTAGACTTAGTTTTTTTTTTTTTTATCGAATTTCCCTATAGGGAAGTAGCTATTACCGTAGGTCTCATGGTAAGACCTAAGCCCGGGACCGATTTACTTTTTCATTTTGATGTCCCCAGAGGCCAAGAACACCATTCGTTCAAATTTTTATATATCTATATATAGAGAGATATATATATATATATATGTGTCCATCCGCACGATAACTGGAGTAATTATTGTTCGATTTTGATAAAATTTGGTTGGAAGGTGTAAGGCGGGATAAACTTGAATGAGTTCGCGAACCAGCATGATCGGACTATGGGAACGGGGGTTTATGGGGGGTTTTATGGGGTAAAAATAGGTTTTTCCCATTTTTGACCCTAAAAACACAAAATTTCACAATTTCTTTTTAAACCATTTTGTAGAACTTAAAAAAACAAATAATTTAGTATATTGAAGCATTATTATGCGCCTAATTGTTACGGAGAAAATTCAAAAAAATTGTAATTTTAAAATTCCCATGTTATTCTTATGGACAATAAGTCAACTGTTGTAGTTTGCTTGTTTATGAACATATTTTGATAAAAGTTGGAAAATACATAAATTTCTTACTAAACCACAGTACCTTTTAATATTATACATAAAAAAAAACTCCCTGTTGCAGCAAACCTAAGTACTCATTAAACTAATTCTGTTTAAATAGGGAATAAATGTGATATTTTTAAGGAGACATTTGAGTTTAAATCCAATCAGGCAAATGGAAATTCGCTAAGTCTGCAGGTTTGCTGCGGCGGGGGTATTTTTACTTAAAAAGTAAAACAAAGATTATAAATAAAAAGTTCTAAAAGGAACACCAAATAGGTATTCTCTACTTATATGTAATCATCATTTTCTTCAATAACTAGTCTTTAATATTAAAATCCAACATTTAATATAACTCATATTTCGATTTTAAGGCTTATAAAGAATATTATAAAAACAAATACAATATTTATTTTACCCTCACAGTAATAGGATTGTAAAAATTATATATAAATATAGTATATTTTAAAAATATATATGGTATGTGTTTTCAAAAATAACCTTTACTTAAACAACATTTGATCACAAACCAAAAGCAAAATAAGAAGAAAATTAAAATACATAAGGTTAAGTATATAAATTCATCATATCAGCCCCATTGATAACTCGTAACTCTCAATGTGGGGTTGCAATTTCTTTAACTTCAATATGAAATGAAAACGAGTGTAGAATGAAGTAAGATGCCTTATGTGGCCCGTTACAAGATCAGCTGGTTATATGACTAAGGCAAGTGCTCTATTTGGGGCGGAACACAACTGAACGGCGTTCTGGTACCTCTCAACAATTTTTTGAGGAGAGGTCATAATTCCCAGTAGGTTACAGCTCGGCCAAAACTTCTGTGCGCGTGGACGGGTTGCTACTAGCCGAACTAAAACATTCGGGCACCGGCTATTGGCAGTGCTGGGGGTAGTGGTGGTAGTGGTGAGTGGGTAGCAAGACACAAATGTTTTCACAAAAGTACCCCCGCCAACCACCTCGCCTAGACTCAACCAGATCTGGTCGCGCGCACAGAAACTTTGGCCGACCTGTACAGTTCCAGCACCTCACTTTGGCACCTCACTTTTTACAAATCGAGCACTGGCTAGGACCGTTTTTTTAGACCAAAAGATCAAGGACAGCTAGGTCCAGTTTTGAAGCTCCCGATTTTATTGTGCTAAAATAAACAACACTAAATCGTAGTGATAGTAAAGAAATCAAACAATGGACGTGTATTGTGCAAGTTTCAAGCAATTAAGGCACATTTATTGTAAATTGAAAATATTAAGTGATGAACAGGAATAACCTAATCCTACCTACATTTTGTCAAACAAAACAAAAAGGACATTCTTGTCTACGAGAAGGGTATTTTTTTATAAAATATTAATATCAACTTTCATTTGGTCTTACGATCCAAGTTTGAGCTTAATACATTTTCCTTAGAAATATTATGTATGTTGTTTGACAAAATGTACCTCACCACCCTGTATTATAGAGATTATTATAATAGTAATATAGGAACATAACTAAAGCCATTTTGTGGCACTTAAACATCAGGTAATTCCCTTGTTGCTATCATTTTCTTAAAGTACTCTGCCGACTGCTTCTTTTTTCTCGGCCGTTTAGGATCATCAAAATCCACATAACAGAGCCCAAATCTTTCCCTGAAAAAGTTGTATAATTTACATAATTTTACTGCTTTCACTTAGGACTACATTTATTCTATTTTTTCTGTGGTTACCTATTTTGAATCTGAGAATATGTTTCCAGATAAAAAAATGTAATTGGTTTTGGTTGAATCAAGTTTTATATAATATTGTAACGATATATATATATAATGATGAAATAAATAATAATATTAAAATAGGCAATAGTGGAGAAGCATTATTGGTGATCGACTAAACCTGCTTGGGGTTCAATTATATGAAGGTATGACGAAAAACAAGCCCTTTGAATATAATTTTCATATTCAAGGATGATTGGTTCATGCTTTAGTAATCGCTCTCATTTGGAATGTTATTTCTAACAGATTAAAAGTCAACTACTTCTATAACGAACAAAGTTAAAATAAACTGAGCTGGTTCAACTCAGTTAACTTTAATATTTGACCAGCATCCGTCTTGTTAAATAAAAGAATAGGTAAATCTTACCTGATGTATACTTCACTTGGTTAACCAATAAACCACTTGCATTGCGTTTTTAAGATTTATTTCTACAGTATGCCTACATGTACTTGTTTTTATTTTCACTCTCTCACTATGCACACAAACTATCTTATTTTAAAATAATCTACATATGCTAGCAAAAATAAACTTAAAAGCAAGTCTGTTCAGGTCAGCATAGTTACCTGAACCATCATTTGGTTTTCTATAATAAATTAAAATGTGGAACTGTAGAAGCACAATTGTGGTTAAGCTTACCAACACTCCTACCAATGAAAAGACCCACTTTGAAGGTATGTTAGTAGAGAAAACTTTCTTTGGTGGAGTAATGACAAAGATTGGTAATGGTACAACCCCAAACCTGTTAAAATACCCTTACACCATTTAGTGTCCTGTAATGAGTAACACTTCTTCCAAACAACCATCTATGGACATTATTTAAGTTTATGAGGAACAATTTTGAGTATAATGCATATAATAAACTTATCATATTGCCATACACCATTTAACTTACGTATAACCAGCAAGCCACTCAAAGTTATCCAGTATACTCCATGCAGTGTACCCTAGTACATGACAATTGTCTTCGTAAATGGCCTTCAACATTTCTTCAAGGTAGTCCTGCGAAATACAACTTGTTTATGAATTAGATGCCCTACTTCTGATATCAAAGTTGTTTTACACTATTAAAGTCTAACCACAGTAACTTCTACAAAAGTTTTAAAACAGTCCAACTATAAAATGTTTAAAATCTAAATGCGTGTCTATCAGTATTTTATCATCCATGCAATACCAAACCGTCCATATGATTGGTCCAAAATTTGGAGAAATTAGAATTTAGAGGTGAGGTTTCTTTCTTATTTTCTTGTTAATAGTGACAAGAAGTTTGGCTGGACCTCTCAAAGTTACCATGTTAGGCTTAGATAGTAGTTTTCACCACTAGGAGCAAAAGTGGCTCTTTTTGGTACAAAATCGTGTTTAAATACACTAAATAAATACGATTAAGAACCAAAAAAGACACTTTCACTCCGCGTGAAGAACAACTATTTTCATCATACTGTCGAAATAACCTAATCATTACAAAATTAGAACACGTCATAATTTGAGGTTATACAGACACCCTCAATGTTTAAATTTACGTTGTTTACAAACATAACTTAAAAATATCGTGTGATTGATTGGCAGCGTTTTCATAATGTACTGATCAAATTTTTAGGTTAGCGAACCAAAAAATTTACCATATGGTTTTTCTGTTCCCTATTTGAAGTTAAAAGAAAACGACGATTTGCTGACGATTTAGAGAACTAAAAACGGCTTCTTTCAGAACAGTATGATGAAAAAGATTTTTTAAATTGATTTCCACAGAAACAAACAAAAAAATAGATTTTTCTATATGGATAGCCTCCATAGAACAGAAACAGTAAGCATTAAAAACATAAAAAATAGGATCATTGGCTCAAATCTAATACTAGTAACCTTTACATCTGTTATGTTCAGCAAAAGCGTGAATTCTTAATCGATAAATCTTCGCAGACACTTTCTGCTACCACAATAGTAAAAGCTCAGCTTGACTGGTATGGGCCTGTTGCTATAAAATACCCCGAATTGCGGTAAAATCCAATCATCCGAATGTGGTACAGTACAGTCCCAATTGATTTGGACGATTGAAGTTCTATTGTACCTACATGATAGTACTGGATCCTCTCAGTATCCTCAAGACTAGAGTCTGAGCTGTATCCGTTCTCAGTGATGAACACTGGAGGATTGTTGTATTCTGTTCGGATTCGGTTCAGGATACCTCTCAATCCCCAAGGAACCACCTGGAATAATATGGATACTAGACTGTTGTCATGGACGGATTCTATGCTACAGACTGTTTTACATCTAGTAAATAAATAAATAAGGTCTTTATTTGCAAGCGTTCATCAAAGTACAAACTCTGTTTCTCATGACAACTTTTGTCAAATTAAGTAAACAAAACAATACAATAATCTATTCATAAAATCAAAAATAAAAGTATATATACAGTAACATTTTGGTAAACATTTCTTTTACACATTTCTTAAACCTATTATAACTGTACTCTTTTAAGGTGGGTGGCAAAGCATTGTACTTTTTTGGGCCAAAGTAACTAGGTAAACTCCTTCTTTCCCGTTTCCAGTTTTGTCTTTGGCAAGTGCAACAGGCTGTCCTGTCGAGTACTGTGCTCATTTATTTCATGCCTAAACACCAACTTTTTCCTAAGGTATTCAGGTTTTCCCGTCTGAAGAACTTTGTGCACCAGATTAACAGTTTGTATGTCGGAGTACCCCATGATTGACAACACCTTGGCACTCAATCTGTACTCGCTAGTACTAAAAGTAGGTATTTTAGAAAAAATTTCATCATAGGATATACAGTTGTCCTAAAATATTATATAAAAATAAATACTACAATATACAACTACTACTAGTTGGTTGATTATTAGTTACACTTATGTTTTAAGACGTTTAAAACTCACACAGGAACATTGATTTATTGCATTTCGTTAGAGTCATTACAGGGTATACTTTAATAAATCCAAACAGAGATAATGCTTCGTGCTAATACTATTACCTTGAGCCAAGGAGACTTTCCCGTTTTCCACGAAGGGTCAAAACTATCTAAAGCGCCTGAGTCTCTCAACATTGAAGGGTCAAGATCAATCAAACCCGATGTCGCAAGTCTTGAGGTGTAGTGGTTCAGACCGAAGAAGTCCGAACTTCCTGAAATATGTAATGATGATGATGACCAGAAATTTTGTCAGCAAACAAAAGAATTCTGGGCTTCCTCAAATTAACATTCAAGATGATCAGCAATGGTTTAGGTTAAAGAAGTCTGAACTTTTGCATTTAGAATGAATAGCTATGGTTTAGACCTAAGACATCTAAAGGTCGATTCACACATATCAGTTCAGTCACAGTTCCGTTACAGTCCAGTTACAGTTCAGTTATAGTTCAGTCTCAGTTGCATCCGCAATTTCCTTCAGTCAATTGTCCTTCAGTTGGTTTCAGTCAGTCTTCCGTCTCTAATATTTACAGTCAAAAATTTTAAATTATAAACCTATATTCTATCAAATTATCAATGTCCATCTTGTTGATTGTTACAAACAGTACTCAAAATATAAACACAACCAGTTAAATAACAATAAAACTATTTTCTAATCTCAAATAGTTCCGTCAGGCGTCCGGATATTCCAAAAATATCGGTGGAAAGAAATCTGAAATTGACTGACGGATGCCGGCAGAGAGACTGACGGGACAGTAGACAATAGACAATAGACAATAGACAATAGACAATTTTCTTTATTTGTGATTTCTTTAAGAAATACAATGGCGTCATCCGGACTGCAACGGATGAGTGACGATAGCGCAATAGAAAGCCATTTAAGAATATTTTTGTTAACTGTGACGTGCCTGAAGTTACTGGACTGTGACGTGCCGTAGCTGTTGTGTGTGAATCGACCTTAAATGGCATAAATCATCAGATAAAATTTCCTTTGACGATGTGGCACACATACATTCGTAAACTGAACAGTGAACATTTGTGAGGTGATGATTAACGATAAAACCAATCACAAAAATTATTGATTCTTGCTTCATTCATACTTTTAGTTCAGGGTGAGATTTTAATTTAATCCCACGTTTAAAAAATCTTGAATTAAGTTTTTGCAAAATAGAATAAAATTTAAGTTATTGTAGGCCTACTGTTCCATGTCATTATGACTGTAAACTGTGACACAGCACTATAGTTATTATCTCTTGTGATCCCAGGGATATTATCATCCTTATCTGCCATAGCTACAAATTAGTGCAAAACTTCTGTGGTTGCGGGGACATAATCTCTTCTTGCAATCGCTGTGAAATCGTGATCATCTCCCGCAATTACAGAGACATAATCCTGTCTCCGGCTTAAGTCCAAAAACTATTGCGGAGACATCACTAAAGTCACTCATATTCATGGTATAATTACTGACAGTTGGAACAAACCCTGTACCAGAAATATCATGAAGTGAATTCAATCCTGTCCGGAAAAAGATCCGGGAAGAGATAAAAAATATATTTTTCTCCAAAATTTTCCGAAATTTTGGATCCAGACATAGGCCTACCTAACAAATTAACAATCCAATTTGTGACGGTGCAATTTCGTCCTGGGACAAAATTGTACTGTCGGCCTCGGATAGCTAATTTAATTGAGTTAGTCCAGGGTTAGTAGTAATAATAATAGTTAAGTTTTAAAGTATGGGCTCAGATATGGTCGTTAAAGCATCAGCTTTCAGTGAATGACACATTCATCACTGCCCGGGTTAGGCCCTAATTTAAACAAATTAATAATTAGGCGTTAATTCCGTGAGTGAAACACTGGTCGTAAATAAACTAAAATATTAACTTCGAAAATAAAATAAAAACTTCTAATTAATGGATTTACCGTGTTTCACTCTTAGAATTAAAACCAATTATACTTACAATTAACCGATTCGATTGTCGCCCTCAGCCTAACACCTACTATTCGACGACACCAGAGTTATTTCACCACTGGCCTCGACCTACGGCTTCGCGACGGATATGCGCGGATCCGAGAGCTATTCCGCCCTCGGCCTAACACCTAGGTTTCGACGCTACCAGGGTTATTTCACCACTGGTGTATTTACCGGGCTATTCCGCCCTCGACCTAAGGTTTCGCGATATATACTCCACTCCACTTACCAGGGAGAGATGTTGCTAGCTATTCGCCCAGCGCTCAAGTAAGTCATTAGCCCTTGTCCCGTGCTGCTTATATAGGGGTCGCGACGCTGGTGCAGTGCGTGGCCGCTCGGTGAACTACAACCCCGCGCTATTTGAATTGCGAACGGCAACGGTCCTACACTCAATATTTAACCGTTACACCCCCTTCTTAGTTCGGGGTAAAAAAAAAATCAACAAAAAAAAAATGCTCTTACTTCAGGAACAAAATTTTTTTACTGCAACATCCTTGCATAAACAAACTTAGATTTTCCTATAAGTACTGTCACTCACGACATTAAAAAGAACGAAAACTCTTCTTGAAACTAATTATTTTCACTCCTATCAAGGAAAAGCTTCAGATCCTTAACATGGACAATTTGTTTGCGACGACTATTTGGATCTTTTACTTAGTACAAATTGTACCCTGATCGACGCGTGATAACCCAGGGCCCCTCATACTTTGGCGCTAATTTACTCGCGATAGCTTCAGCTTTCGACGAAAGTACGTGAGTTCGTTTTAGGACGGACTGACCTACGTCATACCGCACATCTCTCCTCCGCAAGTTATAATGTCTAGCCTGTACGTTAAAAGCAGTTTGTAGGTTCCGTTGTGTGGTATCGTACAACCTTTTAAACCGTTGCATCCGTTGGACGTGTTGTTCCACACGCTCCACCTCGCCTAACTCCGAAGTCCGTTCAAATGAAGGTCCGTGTAACGCCCTAGGCGTTCGAAGCTCGCGGCCGAAACATAGCATTGCCGGCGTGAACTGTGTCGAGTCATGGGTAGCTGTATTTATCGCGAACGAAATCTCGCGAAGGTGTTCGTCCCACGTCCTGTGATCACCCCTAACACTCTGTGCTACGAGAGTTTTAATCACTCTATTTCGCCGTTCAATCGGGTTGCCTTGAGGACTATAGGGAGCCGTGTGTTGACAGGACACGTTCCAATCCCTAGCCATCTCTTGGAAGAGTTTCGCACAAAGCTGGGTACCATTATCAACTATTAATGTCTCGGGTGCCCCATATCGTAGTAGTACTAACTCCTTAAATTTGTCCGTCACGTTTTTGGCCGTGGCACATCTCAGAGGTGCCATCTCTACCCATTTGCTGTATTGATCTTGGAAAGCGATTATGAATGTATTTCCTTTTCTAGATCTCGGTAACGGTCCTAGCAAGTCTGCGGACACCGTATGCCACGGTCCACCCGGTGGACGGTAGTGCATTTGACCCGCTGGTTTTACTTGTTCGACTTTAAATCGTTGACACCTTGAACAAGTCCTTACATATTGCCTAACTTCTTTTCTCCAACCCGGCCAAAAATAATTCTCAGCGACGCGGGACGCCGTTTTCTTGAACCCAAAATGACCGGCAGTAAGTGAGTCATGGGTCTCGTGTAGTACTTTCATTCGGTCTGACGCACGAACACAAAGTTTCCAGCTTTCCGTCATCACGCCCGATTTTCCGGTTCTTCGGACAAGCTTATACAACTTGCCTTCCCGGATTGTAAATTTCTCATGCGAAGACGGATTTTTGTTTACTTTTTTAAACAAAGTGTCGTACCAATGATCTGGTTCCGACTGCTCGATAATTTCGTCTGTTTGCGCGATTATTGGGCAAACCATTGTTCGGACATCTTCACACGGGTGCTCAATGGGATTTCGTGATAGTGCATCAGCGACCCTATTAGCCGTTCCCTTACGATACTCGACCTCGAATTCATATTGTTGGATTTCTAATACCCAACGAGCCAAGCGGCCGGACGGTTCCTTGAGTCGCAGTAACCATTTGAGGGCGATGTGATCCGTTACAGCTATGAATTTGTACCCCTCTAGGTATGGTCGGAACTTTTTAACGGCCCACACTAAAGCGAGACATTCCTTTTCTGTAACGGTATATTTCCGTTCAGCATTGGACAGAAGTCTACTAGCGTACGCGATCACAACTTCGGCATCATTTCTCTTTTGAGTTAAGGAAGCCCCGAGGCCCTCATCTGACCTGACGCGTCAACCTGCAGTTTAAATGTTTGACTGAAATCTGGACACGATAAAATAGGCGCCGAAACGAGACGATTTTTCAACTCGCAAAAGGCTTTCTCTTGTTTCTCACTCCAATTCCACTTCACGCCTTTCTTTAAGAGGCCCGTGAGAGGAGCGACGATCTTCGAAAATTTATCTATAAATCGTCGGTACCATGACGCAAGGCCTAAGAATGAACGAAGACGTGTTACAGTCGTTGGGCGCGGATACTCGACGATAGCTCTAACTTTGTCGGGGTCGGTTCCTATACCCTCTGAATTTATCATGTGTCCTAGATATTTCAGCTCTGTCTGACAAAACTTACACTTCTCAATGTTAAGTTTAAGACTAGCAGTACGTAGCCGTTGGAAAACGTCTTTTAAGAGCTCTAAGTGTTCTTCAAATGTTTGAGAAACTAAGATCAAATCGTCCAAGTAAGCGAAAGCTCGTGGTTCTAATTCCGGTCCTATTATTTGGTCTAAGAGCCGTTGAAAAGTGGTCGGCGCAGAGTGAAGACCAAATGGCATAACTGTAAACTGATACAACCCTAAGCCTTGAATACTAAACGCTGTTAGGGGCTTATTTTCCTCTGCTAATGGAACCTGCCAGTAACCATTTGCGAGATCTAATGTAGTAATAAAATTGGCAGACCTAAGTTTCTCTAGGATAGAGTTGATACGAGGTAGGTTATAGGCATCAAGTTCTGACACCTGATTTAATGATCGGAAATCGATACAAAATCGATAACGTCCTGAGGGTTTTCGGATTAATACAACGGGTGAGGACCAACTACTATTCGACCTCTCAATGACTCCGTCTCTAAGCATTTGGGATATTTCCTCCTTAATAACCTGCTGCATTGCAGGATTACGTGGGTAATCTCGCTTTTTAATGGGAGTTACGCCTTTATTTAATTTAATTCTGTGTTCTATGAGGTTAGTTCTTCCCGATACCTGGTCAAACAATGGTAATTCATCCTTTAGAAACGACTGAAATCGATTTTCTTGATCCTCAGTAAGAGTTTTAATAGAACCTATCTTTGATTTGCCCGGTTCTACGTCCGTGGAGCCATCTTGTTTCAAATGGCACGTTTCGACATTATATGTGATTAATCCTAGCTTATGTAGTGTTTCTATTCCCAATATGACGTCGCTAGTAAGTGAAGGTAGATGGACTGCCTGTAATAAACTTTCCTTATTGTCAATCGATGCTTCAAACTCAAAAAGTTCCGTTTGTTCAGTTTTTGTACCGTCCGCTAACTGAATTACGATCAAAATTGGTTTAGGCCTAATTACGCTACTTACCAAGTGTTCTGCCACTTTTGAACTGATCAAGCTTATAGTTGCCCCAGAATCTAACAGCGCTAAATAGTGTTCACCATAAATAGAAATTTTAACATAAGGTCGATTGTCGGGGTGGCCTTTAACAGACCCAAAACCCTGTGGAAATATTTTTATCCGTTCTAGCCAATTGTTCCAACTCGAGGGTTTCTGTATTACTTGGGACTCGGGTGACCCCCTACCACCGGAGTTCGTGTTTCGTTTCCCCGATTGCACTTACAATCGGCTGTTTCAATACCCACTGTCTTACAATGGAAACACTTTAAAACTTTCGGGTGCCGGCAATCCCGATATAAATGCCCTACCTTATCGCAATTCCAACATATTAACGGCTGAACAGGTTGTTTCACCCGTCCATCAATAGGTTCCGGCTTGTATTGTTTACTCGCGGTATCCGCGGTATGCGTGTTATTCGACCTACGTGTATCGTAGTTATCCCTGCCCTGATAAACCGTGCGATTATTCCACCGCTGGTTAGAGCCGTCTCTCTGAAAATAAGTTTTATTGTGTACTTGGTTGACTGATTTGATTCCCTCATTATGTTTTCCGTAGTCTCTATGTTCGTCCTTATGTGATTCCGGTACGTTAACGACGCATTGGAAAAAATGCTTTTCCGGTTGTTTTCGTGGTTGATATGCGGTTTCCGGTACCAGGGCCATTGACAGCAGCGGCGGCGGGCGATATAACGCTTTGTCGCGCATATAACTCTCAACATGCGTCGCCTGTGAAATCATCTCCACGAGAGAGAATATTTCTCCTCTCCTCATTGTTAACTTGTAATCCGGTTGCATATTGGTAAAAATAATGTCAAGCTTTTGTTGTAACGATAGCCCGCCTTTCCTTCTCATTAACGTCGTTATCGCAACTACAAAGTCCCTAAAAGGCTCCTTTTCGCCCTGTGTTCGCCGCCTTATCTCTTCATCAAGGTTTCGCTGATAACCCTGTGGCAGAAATTGTAGCGCGAAACTATCTCTAAACGTCGCGAATGTTGGCCAGAAATCTTTCCCATTTCTGTACCACAAAAGTGCAGTACCGGTAAGCAATTCGGGAAGTGCTTTAAGTATCTCGTCATCGTTAATCCCGTATGCTTCGATTAACTCGTCAAGTCGTTCGAGGAATGATATGGGATCTTTATGTCCGTCAAACTTCACATTCCATTTTCTAACAATACTACAAACTGATGGCGTAGTATTATATTCGTCCGGCAAATGTCGCATATTGCTAACAGTAGGCATATTTGACGTAACTGTTTGCGTACTCATAATAGGCACCGAGCTGTAAGTTACTCCGCCCGTGCCTCGCATTGGTTGTGTTGGATAGTTAGTATCGTAAGTAGTCGATCGTTGTGTTAAATTTGCAATTGATTTACACAATTCCTCGAACGGTACATATTCTGGCATTCCTAAAATTTCTTTAATTTTATTAACCTCGCTCGTGGTCACGTGACCTGGTATTTTACTAGGCACATCAATCGAGTTAGGCCTAACGTACAACTGATTTCCCGCTACAGAAATCGTCTCTCCTTCCGAATCATTAGTTGGAGTTTGCTGGTTTCCTCGGGGAATTCCCTCTTTCCAAAACTTCGAGAATCGGCGTCTTAATTCGTCCATTGTTCCCGACGAATCTAACCCATACCTATCCATCTCTCGCTTAAGCTCGTCTTTATTTAACGATCTTATCCAACTTGTCCTAGGATCTTCTTCCGGCGGAGTTTTCGAACTTAATTCTACAGCTTGTGTCGTTATCGGCAAAGCTAACATTGCGTCTGTCGCAGTAGTCGTTTCAATCGGTTTGGTCGGTTTCGATATCGCCCCAGTACTCGTAGTAGTAGTAATCGTTGAAGTACTAGTCGTTTCGATCGATTTGGTCGTTTTCGATATTGCACCCGTACTTGTAGCACTACTCACGGTGCTCGACGTAGTCCTGAGAGTTTTTTCCGCAATAGTTTTACTCGGAGTAACTACGTAGTATACGGGCCAGAGAAGATAAGACCAAATGTTTAAGAACAATTGTAAAACTCGCATTTTCGATTTTTACCGTTCTTACTCACTGAAAAAAAAAAACAAATCGTTCGGGCGCCAGCCAAAATGGCAAAAATTAACGATCGATAACTATATAATTACCAAGTCCCTGTTCGGGCGCCATTTGTGACGGTGCAATTTCGTCCTGGGACAAAATTGTACTGTCGGCCTCGGATAGCTAATTTAATTGAGTTAGTCCAGGGTTAGTAGTAATAATAATAGTTAAGTTTTAAAGTATGGGCTCAGATATGGTCGTTAAAGCATCAGCTTTCAGTGAATGACACATTCATCACTGCCCGGGTTAGGCCCTAATTTAAACAAATTAATAATTAGGCGTTAATTCCGTGAGTGAAACACTGGTCGTAAATAAACTAAAATATTAACTTCGAAAATAAAATAAAAACTTCTAATTAATGGATTTACCGTGTTTCACTCTTAGAATTAAAACCAATTATACTTACAATTAACCGATTCGATTGTCGCCCTCAGCCTAACACCTACTATTCGACGACACCAGAGTTATTTCACCACTGGCCTCGACCTACGGCTTCGCGACGGATATGCGCGGATCCGAGAGCTATTCCGCCCTCGGCCTAACACCTAGGTTTCGACGCTACCAGGGTTATTTCACCACTGGTGTATTTACCGGGCTATTCCGCCCTCGACCTAAGGTTTCGCGATATATACTCCACTCCACTTACCAGGGAGAGATGTTGCTAGCTATTCGCCCAGCGCTCAAGTAAGTCATTAGCCCTTGTCCCGTGCTGCTTATATAGGGGTCGCGACGCTGGTGCAGTGTGTGGCCGCTCGGTGAACTACAACCCCGCGCTATTTGAATTGCGAACGGCAACGGTCCTACACTCAATATTTAACCGTTACAAATTATACTAAATTAGTTGGCAAAAACACATTCATAAACTAATAAAAAAGCCAACTAATAATAACTAAGAACCTGTCAAACCAAGAAAGAAAAAGCAACGACCAAGTAGCCACATGAGGACAGTGGCAGTGATAAGTCATAAGTGAGAATCGAGAGTGGGGAGAATTCTATTGACGAGTTATCTAAAAATATTTTCTCTTGCCCCCAACAAACCTAAAACCTTTTGTGCTGCAGGGCCCAAGATGAAATAGGCCCTAAATAAATACACAGAGAAATGTACTTACTAAAAATAATAAGAAACTTTTACTTTTCCATAAAAAACTACAAGTTAAAGGTGAGTAGCGTACCTTTTAGTTGTTGTACTTCTTCTTTGGTAAAGACAGGTAGTCTTGATGATGATCTTCCCTCTCTCTTGCTGTTGTAGTCTACCCTCTCTCTCAGTATCTTGGGGTAATCACCTTCAGTGGAGAATATCGGATGAGCAAAGATCCCATTCTACAAACAAAAGTGAATACTAAGGTCGGGGAATAAAAAATAAATGGTAAACATTTCTATCCACCCAAGAGCCATTTATACTAAGGTTTAATACTGGTAATTTTGTAAATATGTTATTTAACATGTTTTTTTGATTTTTGAGTTCTTATTGTTTAGGTTGGGTTCTCCTACCTATGCATTGTTAATTAAATGGGCAGTACGGTATATGTTTCAGAGTCTACTTAACAACATGAAATGCATGTAACTTTTCCTCTTAAAACCTATTTGCAGTTTGCTAATCACGACTAAATGACTCTTCTTAGAGGTATTTGGACTTTTTTGTACTTTGCTTTTACCTGTTTTTACTTATGCCTCACTTTTTTGTGACAATGGTATTTAAATTTAACCTGAGGAAGAAGGAATGATACACAACTAAATAACAGGCATATAAAAAATGTATAATCAAATAATCTTACTTTTCACCTAGACCTTAAGGTGGGTTCTGAACCCACTGGATCATGAATTAGGTACCTAAAACCCAATTGCCATTGGGGGATTACAAACTCGGTATCAATAGCAATGACAGGCATTCTGTACTCTCACCACTATACTTGAACCCAGTTATTGCTCAGAATAAAATTTAAGTATGTAACTTAAAGAACTAAAATGTCAAAACCTGTTGGACTCTTTCTCAGAGTTATTACTTCCTTAAGGTAACTTTGGCCTTCGTCAGGTAACAAAACAATTAATCTGTTCTACCAAGACTGGGACAAAAGTATTCTCCCTTAATCAAGATTAGGTTTTTCACTCAGCCCGAAGATAAATGGTTTGTTTTCTTGGGATTAAATGTACCTATTCTACTTAAAATTAAGATAAACATGCCTACCTACAAGTTAAAATAACCTACCCTTGAACTCCAAATATAAACCTCAGTTATCTACATGACCGAAATAAGTTCCTACAAGGCTACAATCTATGGTTTTTCCCACAAAACGAGTTACAGACCAAACGTCAACACCCTCAGTAAGTGAACATGAAATACCTCAAATTCCATGGATCTAACCGCAGCCAGTTCATCCTCTTTAGTATTGCCCAGTGGTTTAACAAAGCATGCGTTTAGAGTGATTCAAATTTTTCCTAAAATGCAGACTTGCATTACTTTCTCATGTCAAATCAGTGTGAACTTAATCCATCAGATTTATCAATTTCACCAAAAGGCCTACAACAAACTAAAAACGTAAAATTCAATAGTTCTAATCATGTAAGTTTACATATAAGAACAATTATAATTTAGGATAATTGTAATTTGTGAATTATTTAGAGTGAATAAGATTTGAAAGTCATGTCCCAGTGAAATGGTGAGTCGGTGGCTCAGTCGGTAGCGTCGCGGACTTCGGGCCCAAGGCAGTAGTGTCGTGGGTTCGGATCCTGGTCACTGCCACTAACTTTTATCAGTTCACCTTTGTACTGTACCGGCTCACCCCTTGCTTTGCTGGATACGTTCCACGCACAGATCTGTAGTCTATGTGGACGGGCAAATTCAAGGTTAAAAGAGGCCGCCAACCTCTTTAAAAAAAAAGAGAAAAAAAAGAGTTTTATGATCACTTTACAAGCCAGAGTAATGTCACGGCCTCCTTTAACTACAGGCCGCGGCGTTCGAAGTGGCAACACCGCATCGGATGGCTGGATGGCTAAGACGCTACACCACTACACCAGTGAACGCTCGCGCTCGCGCCGCGGAGGATTGGAATAAGCACGCGAATTATCTATTAATTTAGATGTTTTATATCCGATAACACTGATGTGTAGGAAAAGGAGTAAATAATTATGTGAGGCTTTCGTGTCAATACAAGAATGTAATACCTACAATATTTATTAAAACCTTTTACGGTACATTGAACATCATTGAACGTATAAGTAGGCGCATGATTGTAGTTTTCTTCCGTCTCTTCTACGTATTTACTCTATGATTTATTAATTGTGAAACACTTAAAATTTAAATCCTATCTGCAATGTTATTTAGTTACAGCTTCTGTGTAAGCTATTGTTTTATCATTGGAATGATGACGTTTACTATACAAAGTAAAAATTAACAAAAGCAATAAATAAAATCATTTTATTCAAGAAAGGATTGACATTTTTCAATGGTTACAGTGGCTATTATTTTGGTCTTTTTTACTTTCGTGTAGATATTTAAAAAATATTGCTCATTCTCAAAATAATTGTTGATACTATTTCCTTCAAATTATTTATTCCACAAATGCAATCAGTTTCAGCTATTTCTAAAATATCGATATCTGACATAAAAACCACTAGTCATTAAAAACCAGCCAACACAGAAGAACAACTGCACGCTAATTATAGGTACAGGTTGTCGCTAATTTTAGTTATTCGCTAATTCCACCTAATTCAATGAAGATGGTGGTCGCCACGCCACTATTGGTTGATGAGCTCTAAATTAAAAGTTTTCTGTAGCCCCACCTTCCGATTGTCTGTTGCAAGAATAAGAATATTATCAATGGATTAGTTATTAATGGTTGCGCAATAACAGAATGAATGGAGTAATGTTTTTATTTCTCATAATACTACATAATAACGTGTAAATAAAACACATACTTAAAATTCATAATAAACTACAGCAAAATTATTAAAACTAAAAGGAAAAGGCATTTTTGTTTTAGGCTACGGTATTTAATTATGAAGACATTAAGTCGTGAAGTATTTGATACAAAAGTAATATTCTTGTGGATAACCAAAAGGCATATTAAAATGCTTGAAATAATTGAGTTGGCTTACATTAATTAATTATTAGCTATGCGATAATACAATACAGTTGCGAGCAGCGCTACTCGCCGCGCCGCGGCATAAAACTGAGATTTGGTCTCTCTGTTCAACCCAAAATTTTAATAAAACTAAGCTTGATAGAAAGAAAAGTTAAATACAAAACTTAAAGTATATTTAATTATCTACAACTTTCTCACAGACGAAACTTCTCTGACCAACAAACAAAAATTTTAGTAGGCGACTAACTTTTTCACTTCACTGTTCCAAAAATTTTCTAATGTGTTAATTTTAAAAATATATATATGTACTACCAAATAAAATTTTTATTTTCAAAGCCATACCATTGGCATCAAGGATTTATTCCCTAACTCTGTATAAAATTTCAAAATTTTATCTCAATTGTAAGGGTGTAAAAATGCAGTATATTTAAACCGCGACCACTAGTTTCGTACTACCGTAATGGTGAAATGGCCGGGAGTTAATACTCAGTGCGACGTTGCCAATTCTCGCTGGCCGCGGCCTGTAGTTAAAGGGGGCCGTGGTAATGTACAAGCCAATCCTGCACTAGAATCAACTGATCAAGTCTTAGGAACCTAGCCAGCAACCCTGGAAATATTTACAGGGTGTCCAACAAACCATGGAAAACAATTCAAGGGCAATTCCAGGTTCAACATGTAAAATTCCCAGTCATTCCAAAATTTCTGGTCTCACAAAAAATTCGCAGACTCTTTCTTGGTAACTCACACTTATTTGGGTCTGGGAAGGGGTTATGTATTAAACATTTTAAAAATACATCTTTTAGATACAAACACCCACAGTTGGATGTGCATGTATTCCTTCTTCCTCAAAGTATCCCTACACTAAATGTTCTTTCTTAAAAAAACTAACTGTTTAAAAGTTTACCGTCAGTCAGGGCAAAAAGCTTACAAAGCACAATAAAGTCCATTTTATCCTCTATTATATTTCTCTTCTGCATGACATGGATATTATTTCTTCCTTTGAACAAGAATGATGTAATCACTTATTTATTTAGGTGTGTTGCTATAAAAGAGGTTAATTACTTTGACTTTGATGAGAGATGGACGGGTTCGATTCCTGACAAATATAACCTTAAAAGCATTTGTAGTACCATAGACCAACCAACACAAGTAGACTTCTCATCCCATTGTAAATTTTGAAGCTCGTTTTCATGTCTAGTTCATGTACGCCACACTGGGCGCTAGTGTCGACGCAATTTTGTTTCTATTATTTTAGGGTTAATTTCTTGATTTGTGCTTTACTGTTTGGTTAAATAACTAGGGGAAAATTTATTGTTTATGATTAGATCGTATTATTTGGCTAAACGAGGTTTTAAATGACTGCATTAACGGGAAACAAATTGTAAACAAAACACAACCTCTACATAAACCGTACAGAACTAACGATAAAATTGTCTTCAGCTGTTCCATTAGGATGAGAAATCTACTAAGGGAGTATGTTTTATCTATGGTAGTACCTTCTAATTAGCTAATGGAAACTACACTACAGTAAAAGCCTTGCAATGGATTTCGGATCCTGAAACTAGTCAACAATGCCCTGAAAGATCTAGAGTATGCGGTCACGGTGTACAAAATACAGGGCTAGAAACCCCTAAATTTGGAGAAAAAACATTCAAAACACATTTTGTGGCTACAGAGAACACACAGTCTATGTCTGCAGTTCTTGGATTCATCGCTAGGTTACAGCACTTATTAAATTATCCTGGTTCACTCTTTGCAATTAAACCTCTTCTTCGCGTGTGTGTTATGTGACTAACACTGACTAAAGGTGCATTGTCCCTGAAGCGACTCTTGCGATAGTAGCTGAGCGACAGTAGCTGAGCGATAGTAGCTCAGCGATAGTAGCTAACCATGTCATTGTCCCTGAAGCGATTGTTCTAGAGCGATTTTGTTCATTTTGCTGACTTTTCGAGTGAATTGGTGCCATGAGTGCCATGACACCAGCTAATTTTAAAACGTTTTTATTAGCTCACTTTCTTGTCCGGTACAAACTTTGCAATCAATAACTAACTTCCCGATGAGCCAGAGAATTGGAACTTGAAACATAGCTCACAAATGGATGACAATGCAATATTATATCATTTAATTTTCATATTTCCCTTGGGCTAAGCTCCATGGGCTTCCGAATTTTTCATGTTTACATTTTGGAAGAATGTAGGCCTAAATAAATATATCAATTGAAGCCAGCTGTAAATAATAAAATTGTTTCTAAAATTAGTAGAATATAATTATAAATAAAAATAATTTTTAAAAATAATACGTTTTTAAACACAATCAAAAGTAAAAATAATTTATAAATATGTGGAGAGAATAAATACTTAAGATTTAAAACGAAAAACGTGGGGAGCATGCAATGGATAATAATAGTTCAATAGGTAAAGATAATTCTAAATTATCATGCGCCCCACATTTTAAATCTTCAAGTATTTATTCAATACCGTACTTATTCTGTACTAACAGCTTTTCATCTTCTTCAGGGGTAGAAAACAGTTTTGTATTCTTTGAAGACATTACGACCAATAAACAAGTCTACGCACAACACAAATCGCTCAGCGACTGCGACTCTGACTCCCCTCAGAGCAGACCCGCTACAGTCGCTGTGTTCAGCCGCTAGCCGCTCCAGTCGCAGTCGCGTCAAGGACAATGGTCCCATTTGAAACAACGCTAACCAGTGCTCAACTACTATCGCTGAGCTACTATCGCTCAGCTACTATCGCAAGAGTCGCTTCAGGGACAATGCACCTTAAGACTGCAGTGTTTTTATTTTTAAAAGGTGGGGCTTTGATAGGGTCTGTAAAGCTGTTATAGCTCTATAAAATATAAAAATGTTCAATACTCCTACCCCTGCTTCCAGTAGCCCAAACAGAGTTTGATTTTCTTTACAAACCATTTAATCCTGCCAGTGCAACATTCAAGGATTTATAAACAATTGTGGATAATTATAGGGATGCACTGTGGATGCGATGCTCCCTGGTGTGGATTAACGTCAGCACTAGTGAGTACTACGACTATCCACAGTACTATCCTAATAATTAGACCAATTCGTTAATTACGAGGAAAAAATGTGGTTCGGATTCCACAATAAACTGTAGGTCCCTTGGTTGCCATTAGCTGTATGGGCTATTAATTAACAGCTGTGTCTAAGGAACATGTCGGCCTTAGTCACTAACAAGACTACAAGATCGCGCCACTCATCGTACACTCATCCTTCACTCATATTTGGGTTAAAATACGCACATAGTGGCGTCCCCATCTTAAATAATTGATTGATTGATGGATAGTAACAAAAAGCCCCAACTCATAACAGTAAAACTCTGCAGTTATAGGTGAAACATGTAGAATTTTGTAACATGTACAAGGAGCAACAATTAGTGGCCACATAAAAAAAATGTTAAAGATAACGTAAATAAGTTACTGTATATTGTTTTTATTTAGTAACTTAAATATAACCCAGTATAAATGAATAGTGTTGTTTGTTAGTTTGATAAGTTTAAATTAGTAAGCACATTTCACGCAAGTTACATGTATTCAATAAAAACAAATTATTCTTTAATTTATTAAAACTTACCCTGAACGTTAATGCACAAGTTTGTGCTGCCTATTTTGAAAACATTCTGACACAGTAAGACGACTGATCCCATAAGCAGCAACAGAAGATATATCCTACAGTAAGTAGGCTATTTAACTGACGCCTAACTGAAAAATTAAATAAAACTATGATGTAGGCCTAACTAAAATAAACAAAAATAATACAATTTTAAAAATAATTAGGTATTATTATTCAGATGATTTATTTGTAGTATCAAGATATAATACGCGGTTAAAGCAATATCATCATCTAATATGATCCCGATAAAGCCTTGAACATCAATCATAATTTCGATAAAATATTTAATTTTTTATCGTGTATCTTCACATACGTTTTCTGTGATTGCAAAAATAAAAGCTCGGCTCAGATGAGCTTGACCAAAAAATATCAGGGATCCCTTACTTAAGTTGGAACAGTATGCATCATCCCAATTCCAATGGTGTTGCGTCCAAAACAATCAAATTTTCAATCCCCTTAGTAAATGAAAACATAATAGGCCTACCTCAAACTCCATGGATCTAACAGCAGCCAGTTCATCTTCTTTAGTATTGCTCAGTGGTTTAACAAAGCGTGCATTTAGAGTGATTCCAATTCTTCCTAAAAGTGCAAATAACATTACTTTTGAGTTTTTAAATTCATAAATATAAAACGGTGTGATAGAGACCCATGTGATTGCATCCTTTGTTCATTTCACAATATTTGTGTATCACAAATTATTTAAAGTAATTGTGTTATATTGTTGTATTACAGGTTTAAGAAAGAGCTATGTTTTCACCTCTCTGCTGAGCTCTGAAGGTAGAGTTGTAGACATGGTAAGCCTTGGCATGAGCTCTCAACAGCGTGTGAGCCGCAAGGTAGTCAGCGACTCCGTGTTGATTCAACATAGGAGCGTACAACGCTCGTCCGTAACCTTTTATCACTTCAAGCGGTTCGTTAATCGTGATCCACCACTTCACCTGCAAGCAAAACATCATGTTGCTGTGAATGATTTAAGATCATTTTCAAACGAGAGCTAGTATATTTTTGGTTTGAGAGAATAATATTGAGAATTTTTTATAAAATCCCGCGATTTACTTGTATGTAATTTGAAGATTTAGATGTGCATTCATTGGTAGGCATTTTGCATCAGTTTGAATCCTTCAATGAGTTCAGGAGTTTTGGCTCAAACTCCTGGAGCTTAAAAATATAGGCCTAAGGTTATTTTCTTTGAAGGAAGGTTCGAATGTTTTGAGTGTTTAAGTAGTTGATCCATTTTGTGAAATTCTGGATCCTACATTTAGATATCCATTCACCTTAAAAATATGGACGCTCAATATGCAGCTAGCGATAACCAACGTTTAATATCTAAATATATCAGACCTCCTCTGCTGCCTTCCCTGTAGCAGCAAACCTAAATACTTGTTAAACCTAATTTTATCGGGGAATAAATCTGACATTTTTAAAGAAATATTTTAATAAAAATTTAATCAAGCAAATGGAAATTTTCATAGTCTGCAGGTTTGCTGCGGCGGGGGTATTTTACATTCTGGCCACAGTCCCAAACTCAATACTTAGAGAGTTCCACTGTACTTAGTTTTAAAAGTATATTACCGTACGTTGCTAGCCCGTTAATTGGTGTTTTACCATTATGTGAGCACGACAGTTCCCGCACGAGGCGTAACCAAGTGTGGAATTTTTGTGCGAGTACGGTAAAGCTTACCGGGCGAGTAACCTACGATACTTAACATCCTACTACACAGAAAAATTTGTACATTTTAAACTCTTAACACATTTCAGAAAATAAAATAAGCCGTTGCAATTAACTGTTTATTTCATCAGCTGGCTAAGTGCTCGGTAAGTGTACTTTACCTACGATGAAAGCGTACTACCTCGATCGGATGACCGTGGCTTGGTGGGATGGCGTGCGTTAGGCCTAGGTCTGGCAAAGAGTGAATGTGTGTGTGTCTGTATTCACCGAATAGTGGCATCCTTCACAGGCACACGGCCGTACTGTGGCACCTTTTTCAGGGTGCCACAGCTAATTCGATCATTTTTTGGGTTTTCCAGCATTATTACGTTGTTTAAACATCACATGCCACAATTGAGTATTTTTGAACTCGTTGATGTGAGTTTAAGTAGCGCAGGTACACGCCGAATTGTGGAACACGAAACCATACCGGTAGCTAGCGCGCCTCGCGCCGTCCGCTGGAACTATAACTTCCCTAATGCTATGTTGCCAGTTCTCGTGCCAGCCTACACTCTAAATGGTGGCACCATGCCGCAATTCAGTATATATCAACAGTGTGTGGACAGGATGCCACTTAATGAGTTGTAGCGCTTGAGCAGTGTGTAGAACAGTGCAACAAGCAACTAATAAACTAATAATACTGTACTGCCACGTACAATTTAAGTGCCATAAATAATATACTTTTGCTCCGAGTGGTGAACAATGTTTTACATTACAAATATTTTGTGTAGTAAATAATTATTTAAATTGATTTTATGATACCATTAAAAAAAATATTTTTGTTTTTATAACATATCAACACATTATTTTTAATTGATCACCAAACTGATTCTTGAATTTTTGAATTAGTAGTTGCAAGAGTAGGCAAAACTGCTGAGAGTCCTTGAAAATGCTTGTGCAATGATATAGTTTTAAATTATAAAAGAAACCCTTCACCAAATTGTATTAACAGGACCAGAGGACCAATATGCACATGGTATTTCATTTGTAGGAGGCAAAAAATTCAAATCTTATTAATTTATGATTGCCAATAGATTTTGGGTTTCCTTAAAAAAAATTATATAGAACTGTCTGCAAATTTCGATAAAACTAATTTTATAATAAATGGTAGATTCTTCTGTTGCTCTGTAGGCGACTATTTTGGTCACACAAGGAAGTCCAAACTTATATCTTAGTTTGAACAACGTCATCTTGATTACATTCTACAAGATACATAATCGACACATAGGCTTACTAAAAAAATAGTAAATACAGTAACTTGTGATTAACCGCGCAGGCATCTTGCCTCTATAAGACTGACGTTTTCAAAACGAATATAGAAGTTAGATCTACATTCTTCATTTTAGGCTTGAAATAAGTTTGTTTGTGGGTAAGAGCGAATGAGTAAGCATGAACAATAATTAATCCCCTTTACCCTTCTCCCCAACACGCCACCATACCATGGCATCTTACTAGCAGAGCTCAAGGTCATTGACGTAATTGTAATGAACTAAATTTAGACTTCCATCTCCCCAATGTCACCAATAGGCCCTAAAGGTTGGTATGTCAATTCATGACGGTTGAACAATTACCTTTAAAATACGCTTTTAATTTTTTTTCTAGCGTTTACCGTGTCTTACAAAAAGTTAGTTTACATAATTAATAACAAAAACTTTTTGGGCGAAAGAAAAATTCTCATAAGCTACAAATTAATTTATAATATATGTATCTATATCGTATTAAAGGTTTGGCGTTTGGTTTACAATGTATTTTCAAAGTCACAAGATGGTTTCTGAAACTCTTTATACAACTCTCCTTTAAAATTTTTTTTTAAAATATGATCCAAGAAATTGAGCTCTTTAGCCACAAAATCCACCGTTTTTTAACTTACCTGACAAAAAAATTAAAACAGTAGCAGCCGACAAACTGTTTTATGTCATATTTTGAAACTCATTTAAAAGTACCGACTTTATTTCAAGATTTAAAATAGAAAATATAAACTTTTAAGCTTTTAATTAGAACCAATAGTGTCCTAGACTAATTGACATCATTCATACGAAGTTTCGACGATTTACATTTAGTCTAAATAGGCTAAATGTCAAGTTATTTTGAAGCGCGACATTGAGTTTTGGTGCCGTTTTCATTGGCATCTACCACTTCTAACCTGCACTAAGATGGCGGACCTGGCTCCAACTGCTTGTATGTTAGTTAGATAGGCGTGCTCCATCTATTGGTCTTATGTGATCGTTGATTTAAACTAACGGAATTCTTATGAAAATTTGAACACGAATTATTAGCAGTTTTGCAGGGATGATAAACAAGTTTTTTTTTTTTTTTTTTATTTGAATTGCTTGTCAGTTGGCAACAAATCTTAGAGATGTGTATACATTTTTTAGGACAAAATTGAATTGGCAGATATCATGGTAAAGAAGCGTTCCTCGAAAAAGTTACTGTCGCCTCATCCAATTTTTACAGCAGCCAGCTGTAGACATGCTAGGCGAGCAACCACGACAGGGAGGACGGGGAACAGCTGATTTCATGTTCCTAGTTGGCAAATTGTCTGCTAGCTACTAACGTACACATGCATAAGCCATCAGCGGTAGCACCAGTAGCCTCATTGACTATATAAACACTTGTGTTAAGGTTTAAATACAGTAGTCAATGCTATTACTGAATTTGATACTATACATATTGTTACTAATATATGAAATGGAGAAAAACGTTACCTTAAAAATACAAAATTTCCCAATTTATATCCAGACCTTTTTAAATAGCTTAAAAAACAAATAATTTAGTATATCAAAGTGTTTTTGTACGGTTATTGGTAACAGGACAAATTCAAAAATTGTAAATTTAAAATTCCCATGTTATTCTTACAAAGAATATTGTAAAATGTTGTAGTTTGCTTGTTTATGGATATATTTTGATCAAACTTGGCAAATTTATTCAAACAATTACAAAACTATTTGGACCATGAACGGTACTCTAGTTTTCTCAAGGTAGGACACGTGAATTGGAATTTTGGCATTACAGACACAATGACAGAAACAATCAAATAAACGTACAGATATTGACATAAGACTCGTTTCGGCTTTCTTATTATATAACTTGTAGAAATAACCAAAGTTTTTTTTATTTTTATTATATTTATTATATTTATTACCAATAAAAAAAAACTCCAATTTAATAAACTCTTTTCACAAGTCATGGACAAACTCCTCAAGCCTGACTGATTTGATGTAGAGCCAGAAAGTGGTGCAGAAGAACAATGGCTGCATTGGTACCAGACTTTTACTAACTTCTTAGAGGAATGTGACTCTAAAGCAACAAATGAAAAGGTAAAACTACGTTTACTTGTTATAGTCCATCTGTCTACAAATACATCTCTGGAGCTACAAAATTTGATGACGCTATAGCTATTTTAAAAGAACTCTATATCCGTCCTAAGAATGAGATTTATTCCAGACATCTTCTAGCAACTCGTTTTCAAAAGTCAGGGGAATCAGTTGACCAATATTTACAAGCTTTGAAAGATTTAAGTAAACCTTGTAATTTTTCCCAAGTTTCTGCTGAACAAAATAAAAATGACTATACTCGTGATGCATTTATCAGAGGTTTGATTTCGCCAGTAATCCGACAAAGACTTCTAGAAAATAAAACATTAACTTTGAATGAGGCTTTTGAGAAAGCTAGAGTTTTGGAATTAGATCAGTATCAATCAGAATCTTATAACAAGCAACATTCTCAATTAAATTGCATGCAACATTCTACTACTTCAGAACCAGAATCTGTCAAAAGTAACATGTCCTCAAATAATGCAGAGGAAACTTGTTTATCAGCCACTTTCTGGAAATGTTATTTCTGTGGTTCCAGTAAAAAACATACTAGAAGTGAATGTCCTGCTGCAAATCATATTTGTCATTCTTGTGGCAAGAAAGGACATTTCATGAAGGTTTGTAAGTCAGGAAGTAATTCATTACGTCCTACAAAACTTGACTCTAGAAAAACTTTTAACAAAAATCCAGCTACATGTGCAGCTGCACCTAAATCTTTATCTAAATCTACTATTACGATTGAAGTAAATGGGATTAAAACTGATGCCTTAGTTGATACTGGTAGTTCAGAAACATTTATTAGTAAATCTCTAGTAGAAAAGAGGGGAATAACAATCTTTCCAACCACCGTTAGTGTTGCTATGGCTTCTACTTCTTATCAACCAGTTACAGCTGGCTACAGTCTTGTTGATTTGTC